GAGGTACGCGCCCTTAGCAGAAACCGAACCCGGGTCTCTCAGGACCGGAGGCCGACGCTCTAACCGCTGAGCCAAACCGGCCAGGACCTTAGATACTATTTTAAATAACACAGACACAATGACCAGATTTAAGGATAAATTTGAGTTTAAAGGACTAGTTTGGGATTAAAACCATCTGAAGCAGATCTTGAGCATTAGCTGACATTGACATGGAGAGTATGTTTGAGCCCCAAGCATGATTTAATCAATCTACTTATGCATGGTTGGGATCCAATTATGACTTTTATCACCATTTCTTTGGAAAGAACTAAATAATGTATGGTAGTATTTCCAACAATGTATTTATTTCAAAGATTCTCATTGCACCAGTGTGAATACTGCAAACACACACACACAAAAAAACAATTGTAAATATGTATTAAGAAATCTAGCCCTGGCCAGTTTGGCTCAGCGGTTAGAGCGTCGGCCTGCAGACTAGAGAGTCCCGGGTTCGATTTCCGCTAAGGGCAGGTACCTCGGTTGCAGTTTGTCCCCAGCCCCGGTTGGGATCCTGTAGGTCATAACCAGTTTATGTGTCTCTCTCACGTGGATGTTTCTCTCTCTCTCTTCCCCCCTCTCTCTCTTAAAAAAAAAAAAAAAGAGGGTGTTGGGTCCGAGAGAGCTGAGAAGGCATGCCCAAACAACCGTTCTCAATTAGGGGAAATGCTGTCCCCGGGCCATTTGGCAATCTGTGGACATGTTGTTTAACATGTTGTTTACGCCTGGGGAAAGTGCTACTGTCATTTGATGGGTGTGGTTTAGAATGCTGCTAAATATCCTACGATGCACAAGACAGCCCCACAGCAGAGAATCAATCATCTAAAATATCAATAGTGCTGAGGTTGAGAAACCCTGATCCATAGAAACTCTCCCATATGCACTTTGTGGTTAACGCAAAGACGTCATTATGCTGCTGACTGTCATAAGGGAAACGGGAATGGGGTGGGAGGGTGAGTGTATGGAACTCTAGGTACTTTGCTCAACTATGTACTTTGCTTAAATTCTGGGAATTTAAAACTGTCCTAAAATAAAATCTATTATTATATTTTTTAAAACCATGCTGGTAGTTTTAGGAGCCTAGATCCTAACCCCATTTTACATACGGACACAATGTATTATTTGTAAGATTTGAATATACACCGCATTTTTCAGCCACGCAGCTACTATCTATGTAGAGGGATAGCTGCACTCTGTTTTGTTTGGAACTTTGCCAAGACTTGGTCACCATTTCAGAAAATCACATCTCTAGCAGCAGACTAGGTCTCTGAGCGGGGCGCCTCACCTGTTATGCGCGCGTTTGCAGCGGTTGTTCTCACTGTGTTCTCCAAAGAACTTCGCTGTGCCTGAGCGCTCACATCTCAAACACAAGCATTTATTACTAAATACTTTTCTTTATCCGGTGTAGTACCACCAGGATTTTATATTGACATTAACTTGCTGTGTCTAGGTAGGTTTTTATTATCTATTAATTTCATTGGAGGATAGTAACAATATTTGTTTTTTGTTTTTTTGCTTTTATCGTCAGTTAGTGCAGGAGGGAGAGAGGGAGGAAGAGGGAGAGAGGGAGGAAGAGAGAGAGAAACATCGAGGTGAGAGAGACACATAGAGTCGTTGCCACCCACAGGGCAAACTGCAACCGAGGAACGTGCCCTTAGCAGGAACCGAACCGGGGACTCTCTGGTCCATGGGCCGACGCTCTAACCGCTGAGCCAAACCAGCCAGGGCCAAAATATTTGTTATTAAAAGGGTGACTGAGTCTGATTGAATTGAGAACCTCACCTTTAAAGTGAAATCCAAACTCCTTTCTCAGCCCTCAGGCCTGTCATAACCAGCCTCTGCCCATCCTTCCACGGTGCCTACCAAAGGGTTCTATTTGCATGCCCCAAAATGCGTCAGTATTGTCATGTCCCTGGTCTTGGTACACGCTGTTCTCTCCCTGAAATGCCCTCAATCCTCTTCGTACACAGTCTCAACGAATGCTGCATTCCTCCAACCTCAGCTCCTCACATCCTTCCTTTGAAACTTGGGCCACGGCTGTGCCCCACCTGCACTGCCGTTTCCCTAATTTTCTTTAAATGGCCATTTTTCTTTTTTTTTGAAAAAAAATTTTTTTTTCTTTATTGATTTTAGAGAGAGAGGAAGGGAGAGGGAGAGAGATAGAAACTTCGATGAGAGAGAGGAGCATCAACATCGATTGGCTGCCTCCTGCATGCCCCCCACTGGGGATTTGGCCCACAACCTGGGCATGTACCCTGACCAGGAATCGAACTGGTGACCTCTTGGTGCATGGGTCAATGCTCAACCACTGAGCCACACCAGCTGGGCTAAATGGCCCATTTTTCTTAAATAATTTTAATGTACATTAAGTTTATAAACAGATTTATTTTTAAATTTAAATAATTTTTTTTTTATCCTCACCCGAGGACATTTTTCATTTTTTGTTCAGATAGAGTGGAAGAGAGAGGAAAAGAGAGAGAGAGAAACATCGATGTGAAAGGGACACATCGAGTGGCTGCTTCCCGCACGACCAACAAGGGCCGGGGACAAACTGCAACCGAGGTACATGCCCTTAGCAGGAACCAAACCCGGGTCTTTCTGGACCGCAGGCCGACACGCTAACCACTGAGCCAAACCGGCCAGGGCTAAATTTAAATAAATTCTTAAAAGTTTTATTTGAACAAATTTATATATTTTTAAATACTTTAATTGATTTTTTTTGGAGAGAGAAATAGGGAGAGTGAGAGAGAAACATTGATGTGAGAGCAGAACATTAATCGGCTGCCTCCTGGAGGCCCTCTACTGGGGATTGAGCTGGAAACCTGGGCATGCGCCCTGACCAGGAATCAAATCAGCAACCTTTCAGTGCACAGGACAACGCCCAACCAACAGCCACACTGGCCAGGGCAACAAATTTATATATATGTATATGTGTGTGTGTGTATATATTTTTTTATCCTCACTCGGGGACATTTTTGCATTTATCTTTAGATAGAGCAGTAAGGAGAGAGGGAGGAAAAGAGAGAGAAACATCAATGTGAAAGAGGCACATCCATTGGCTGCCACCCACAGAACCCCATGGAGCCAGGGACAAACTGCAACTGAGATATGTGCCCTTAGCGGGAACCGAACCCGGGTCTCTCTGGTCCACAGGCCGTCGCTCTAACCACTGAGCCAAACCGGCCAGGGCAACAGATTTATATTTTTAATTTATTTACATTTAATTTGTATTTAATTCTAGTAAGTGTTTGTTTATTTATTTATTTAATCCTTACCCGAGGAAACATTTGCATTTATCTGCAGAACCAGAGGGAAGAAGAGAGAGAGAGAGAGAAATATCCACATGAGAGAGACATATCAAATGGTTGCCACCCACACGACCCCAACCAGCTCAGGGCAAACTGCAATGAGGTAAGTTCCCTTAGGGGGAACCGAACCCGGAACTCTCCGCTTCGTGGGCCGACGCTCTAACCGCTGAGCCAAACTGGCCAAGGCTGGTAAGTGTATTTTTAAATGTAATTATACTTAATTGTATTTAATTTAAAATAAATTAATAAGTTTATTTATTAAACTACATATAATTTTATTTTTCAAAGAAAAGTACATATCATTACCATAAATAGGAAACCTGCATGAATAGCCCTAAAAATAGAGCAAGTATAAAAATAGAAGAAACTTAATGAAAGTTATTAATGTCTATTTAGATCAAACTATTAGCCGAAGCTCTGAGGCCAGCTCTTCGTTAGAGAGAGGGAGAGATTAACAAGTGTTAGAAACATGTTAGTACTGAACTGAGACCTCCCCCGTTGATATTGCAAAGACTTGAAAGCAAACTTTTTCTTTCAGTGTTATTTCATGCCGTCTCTGTTCTCCCAAAAATCTCTTCTGTATCACTGCGATCCATTTATTCACCAAGCACCTGCTATGGACCAGGTTGTGGCGCTAGATGTTTGCAATAATAAAACACTGAACCAGGCAAGCACAGTCCTTGCCTCACAGACTCACAGTCGGCTGGAGGAAGAAAACACAAGTAATCTGGGAGTGGCCATAATATGTCTTATGAATAATGTGCAAGTTAGAGCCTCTCAGTTCCGCATCCTCTAGATGCACGGTGACTGCAGAGAAAACAAACCACGACATATTGTATGAGTTAAAGTAAATTAATTTCAAAATTACAATGGCCGGTCTATAATCTTTCCAAGTTTTTCACAGAAAAAAAAAAGGAGGTGGGTGCATGTTAATATGTTTGATGTGATGTGACCTGGAACCACCGAAAGTCATTTCTTTTTTCTCTTTTCTAGCGGCAGTGGTGGACGGGCACGAGACGAGGCTGAGGAAGGAGCCTGGACTCACCGCCGGGTCACCCTTTCCGCGGAGCCTTTGCTGAACCCCCCACTGCTCGGACACAGCTCAGCCTCACCGCCAACGGGACGCCGGCTCGGACGCCCCACTGCGGCCCCGGCGCGCGCTGTGCGGCCCGAAGACCCGGCAGCTCCCGGCACCCGCTGGGGTAGGAGGGGCCGCCTGTCTTCCCGACCGGCCTGGGGGCTCAGCCAGCACCCGCACCTGCCCTCTCCTCGGCCTTCTGAAGCACCCTGCTCGGCTCAACCAGCCAGGACCTCCGGCGAGACGGTCTCTGGCCTTCCCGGGCGCTGGCCCTTCTCGGGTTACTCCCTGGTCCTGGGCTCGGCAGGCCCGCGGCCGGCCGGCCCTCCGTGGGCTCCCACGTTAGGGGGCGCTAGCGCGGCTCCGGCACCCCCTGGGAGTCGGTGGGGGCAGAGCACCGCGTCAGGTCCGCTCCGGGGCTCCCAGCGCGGGGCGGGGCGGGGCAGGACCGGGACAGGCGCCTGCGGAGAGCCGAGGCGCACGGGACCTTGCCGGACCAACCGCCTCCGCACCGCAATGGGCTGCGCGTGAAGCCGCGGGTCCAGGGACTGTGAAGCCAGGCCAGGGTCGAAGTCCGCGTCTGGAGTCCCTGACCCTGGAGGTGGACAGGGGCGGGGCGACGCTCTGTCCCCGCCCCGGGGCGGAGCCGAGGTCCGACTGCGGTGGGTTAGACTCCGGGAAATTGGCCTGCAGCTCCCTACCCGACTCACGCCTCTCCCCTCCCCTTGCGGGGAGACCCGAACCCCTCCCTCTGCCCACCGCCAGCAAGAACGAGTCTCCAGGGTGCTCTGGTCCTCGGCTCCGCGCAGGTGCAGGTGCAGGTGCCGCCCCCCACCTCTCTCCACCCAGGCGCATCCGGCCGGGCGGCCATGGCGCGAGGAGACATCCCGCGGGACAGGCAAGTTGGGGGCTGAGTGGGGTTCGAACGGAAATCTGGGCGGCCGTAGGCAGCGCAGACCTGCTTCCTCTGGGCGCTCTAAGGCTCAAAGCAGACCGGATGGAACTACAGTTCCCATCAGCCGCCATCCTCCTCTGCCTGGGCCGGGTGATGGGCGCTGTAGTCTACTCTCCAGAGGGGGTGGAAAGGGTAGCCGAGGAGGTGCGTCCTCGGGGTGACCTTCCGACTGATTCCCACAGCTACCACCTGGTCGGGATCAGCTTCTTTATCCTTGGGCTGGGCACTCTCCTTCCCTGGAACTTCTTCATCACGGCCATCCCGGTGAGACTCGCGGCCGGAGTGACAGCCCCACGGCCACCACCACTGTCCCTCCAGCCGCCTTGGACCTGTGGTGTACAGGCGCTTTTTCTACCACGCCGCCTTTGACTCTGCAATGCCGCGTGTCTGCCGAAGCATGGAGCCTTTGAGGGGAGGTGCCTCTCTCATGGCTAGGAAGGCCAAGCTTTCAGGGATCAGGGAGTTCTGTGAAACCTCCGCCTGTGTGTCATTATTCCTGGACTAGTGACTCCAAAACTGGGTTATCCAAGCCTTTGGTTTTTTTTAAAATAGTACAAATTACATTCATTCATCCAACAAATAGCTAATGTGCACCTACTGTGGTCCAGGCCGTGTCTTGGCACTAGGGGTACAGGAGGAAACATTACAGAGGAAGGTTCCATCCTCACAGAACTTATGTGCTCTCAAGGGAAGGCAGAAATGTAGGGCTTATGTCTCTTTGGGACTGGGTTATTCATGTATATTCAGTACCAGAACTTTCCAGATGCTCTTCAGTGCCTGGCTCGGTGCTGGGCCCTGGAGACCCAAAATGGAACCAGCCCCTGGTCTTGAAAGCAAGATGGATGACAAAGAGCTATTAGAAATGTCACTTGACACTTGGCATCCCAGGCTTGGAGCAGAGTCCTGTGGGTCCCTAGGGGAGGAAACAATTCCGTCTGCTTCAGGGAAGAGGTGATTTGTAACTTGGGAGAAAGGTAGTAAAGCATTGGGGAGGGAGGTGGAGAAAGAGGGCAGAGCATTCCAGGCAGCCTTGCAAAGGCCCAGAGGCAGGGGCGTGCCAGCTTGTTCAGAGAAAGGGAGCTTAGTGGAACAAAGCAGGAGATGGGGCACAAAGGGAGGCCGGGGTCTGGTACAGAAGGACCTCAGGTGCTCTTCCAAAACCTTGAGGCTTTGCCCTGTGGGCAGTAGGGAGCCATGGGCAGAGGGCAGGGAGAGTTAAGCAGGATGTGTGTTCCAGAGAAAATGTAGTTGGTCAGCACCTAGGCTAGAGCCTGGCTTACTATACGCTCAATAAATACTCAGGAATCTAGAAGCTGCTGTAGGAGTGGAAGTGGGGGCTGGAACCAGGGCACTGAAGAAGAGGGGTGATCTGGAGATGGAGCAAAGGCCCATTTGGGGGTTCTAGGGTTTGGGCTCTGTCCCAGACTTCTGCTGTTCAATTCAGTGCACAGTCACTGAGCTCCAACTGTGTGTCAGGTGCTGGGAACAGTATAAGGACAAACAGGGACAGTCCCCACAGAAATTAACAGCCATCCCAAGGGGGGTGATGTGCAAGGAAGAGGCTGGGGATTCCTGAGGGTATTTGTAGGGTGACTCTGTCCTCCCTCTCTCGGCATCCCGGCAGTACTTCCAAGGGCGGCTGGCAGGGGCCAACAGCACTGCTTGGACCTTGGGCACCAACCACACCAGCCCTGCAGACACCTTCAACTTCAACAACTGGGTGACGCTGCTGTCCCAGCTGCCCCTGCTGCTCTTCACACTCCTCAACTCCTTCCTGTACCAGTGGTGAGAGGCCCGTCTCTGGGTTCCCTCCCAGGCCATCCTCTGTTGTCCCCGCCCTGCCCCTGCTGAGGCAGCTCCATCTGGGCCCTGGGCTAAACCTCTTGCTCACCTCCTTGGGCTCAGCTAGCTGATGCCCACTCTGCTCCCCCCCCCCCCCATGAGCAGCATTCCTGAGACGGTGCGGATTCTGGGCAGCCTGCTGGTCATCCTGCTGCTCTTTGCCCTGACAGCAGCGTTGGTCAAGGTGGACATGAGACCTGGACCCTTCTTCTCCATCACCATGGCCTCTGTCTGGTTCATCAACTGTGAGCACTGCCCCTACCCACCTCCCTGCCCAGCCCACCCAGGGTTTCACTCAGCCTCTTTTTGTAACTGAAAGGGTCCAGTGTATTGAAAAAGGGAAGGCAGCAGCAGCATCATATCCCTGATGAGAAACTGAAGCCCAGAGGGAGAGGAAAGTCACTTGTGCCAGGCCCCACAGTGACCTAATTACTGGCCTCCAGCTCCTAGACCTGCAGGTCTATGGACGAACCTCAGAAAAGGAGGGAAGGGAGTACTTACACCAGAGTACCAGGAGTCTTCTGCCTGCCAACCTGTCCAGAATCTGCTGTGCCCCCTGCTGCCACCTCCTCCAGGGAGCCCCCGAGGCCTGCCTACTTGAGTGGCAGCCCCCATTCTTGTCCCTCTACAGCCTTCTGTGCAGTTCTGCAGGGCAGCCTCTTCGGGCAGCTGGGCACCATGCCTTCCACCTACAGCACCCTCTTCCTCAGTGGCCAGGGCCTAGCTGGGATCTTCGCTGCTCTTGCCATGCTCCTGTCCATGGCCAGTGAGTAGACCTGCGTGGCTGATAGGCAAGGGTGGCCCCTGGGATTCTGGGGGGTAGGGAGAGTGTGCCAGGAGTGAGATGCCTTGGGTTCTGGGTAGAGCCAGAGGTGACGGGGTAAGGGGGGCGGGGGATTGGGTTTGGGGCAGGGAGCAGGGCCCTTGGGTTCTGCAGTGATAGAGTGACTGGGTGAGGATTGGGTTACCTTGGAGCCAGGGGCAGGATCCCTGAGGCCAGCACTGGTATGAGGCTGAGGGAAGGAGGAACAGAACAGGTTTGGGTTTCAGATAGACTTGTGTTCAAATCCCAGTTCCACTGCTCCCTAGTGGGGGGCATTGGACAAGACACCTAATCTGTGTCAGCACCCCCTCGAAATGGTTATTATAGCTCCACCTCAGATTGTAAGGAGCATGCGATAATAATGAGCACATAGTGGGTGCTCAAAAAAAATGGCACGTAGGGAAGAGTGAGAGAGGTAAAGGGCTGGGGTGGGGCCTGCACAAGATCCCCGTCTGCCAGGGAGAGGAGCGGGGAGGCTGGGAGAGGAACCTGAGAAGGTCATAATGGGAAGTTGTTAGTCCTGTGGGAGCAAGTGGGACCAACTACCTCCCCGCTGCAGCTGGTGTTTCTGCACAGGTGGCGTGGATGCCCAGACCTCTGCCCTGGTGTACTTCATCACACCCTGTGTGGGCATCTTCGTGTCCATCATGTGTTACCTGAGTCTGCCCTACATGGTGAGCCTGGCATTGAACTTGAGGCTGCACTTCAGAGCATCTCAGATACAGCCCTGACCTGAGTCTGAGGCCCCAAGAGATGCCAGGGGAGGTAGAGGGGACTCCAGCCTCTATCTAAGCCAACAGGGTATGGAGGGATCCAGAGACCTCAACCAAACCAGGCAGGACCAACGCTTTCCTTCTGCAGGAGCTCGCCCGCTACTACCTGGCCAAGAAACCATCGTTGGCACAAGGTCAGGAGCTGGAGACCAAAGCTGAGCTCCTCCAGTCTGGTGAGCCCCAGACCTTCCTGGGGAGGTGGAGACCCAGAGGAAGCTAGATCCACCTCTGCTGGGGAAGATTTTCTCACTGTCCCCAACTACAGCCCTCGCCCCTCGTAGTAGCCTTATTTGAGCAGAGGCAGAAAAAAGATCATGAATGGAAGTCAATGGGATTAAAGTCATCCCCTTCGGGCCCCGGATTCCTCCTCTATAAAACGAGGAGGCAGTTGAACTTCAGGCATGCAAGTTCTGGATTCAGTATGAATTCTGGCTTCACAACATCCAAGCTGTGTGACACTGGGCAAGTCACTTAACCCCTCTAAGCCTCCATTTCCTTATTTGTAGAGCAATGGTAGTGAGATAATTTTTTGAGGTGCTTAATCTGCCTGGCACATGTATGTGCTTAATAAATAGCAGCTGAGCATACTTCTGTTGTTGATTCTCTTTGCCTAAACCCTGGGTTGAAGCAGCGTCGCTTGTGTTCATTGCTGGAAATCTCCCTGTCACAGTGAGGGTCACAGGCATGACCCTCCCCTCCCTTCTTACCCCAGATGAGAAGAACGGGATTCCCAACAGCCCTCAGAAGGCAGCCCTGACTCTGGGTCTTGACCCTGAGAAGGAGCTGGAGGTGGAGACAGAGGAAGCCCAGCAGCCAGGGAAACCTTCCGTTTTCACTGTCTTCCGAAAGGTTTGGCTTGGATATAACCCCCAACCACCATCCCTGGGGAAAGAGACGGCTGCTCTCTTCAGCCCTCCCTGGAGACCCAGAATGGAATGGGGCCTTAGTACTCACCTTGTCCACCCCAAGGTGACAGAGTCCTAGTGAGGCGGGAACTCAGCTGGGCCAGGCCCCAGGTATCCTGCTCCCAAGGGCTTTGGCAGAGGGGTCGGGGCAGTGTTAGGCCTCAGGTCTGCCCCACCTGCTCACACCCCTGCCTCCGGCTCCCAGATCTGGCTGACGGCGCTGTGCCTTGTGTTGGTCTTCACAGTCACCCTGTCTGTCTTCCCCGCCATCACAGCCATGGTGACCAGCTCCACCAGTCCTGGAAAGTGGAGTGAGTGTTGGGAAGCAGAGAGGGCTGGGCAGGGGAGTGAAGGGGAGGGAAGGAAGACAAGAGTCGGGACCAGGATGAGCCCTCTCTCTCTCCCAGGTCAGTTCTTCAACCCGATCTGCTGCTTTCTTCTCTTCAACATCATGGACTGGCTGGGACGGAGCCTGACTTCTTACTTCCTGTGGGTAAGCACACCTGGGTGGGGATCTGATGGTTTTAGGAAGCAGTTGGGGATCAGAGGGTGTGAAGGAGCACAGAAAGGTGATGTCCCAATAGTCCAACTAGTCTGGGCCTGGCAATGGGACAGCCCGCCAGCTGGTAGTGAGCACCCTGCTCCAAGAGGTATCCAGGCCAGAGCTTGGACTGTGAGCTCCTTGAAAGCAGAACCTATGTCCAATTGATCTGTGTCCTCAGCATCCAGCCCAGGGCCCAGCCCTCAGTGCTCAGAGGCTGTTGTGTGGAGGTTCCTATGCCACGTGAGAGGGGAGACAAGATTCCTAGTGTTTGGATTGCTTTGAGCCAAGATGCTGCATTATTAAATGAAATCTTTCAAGGAGACACAACAAATAAAGTAGATCAAAGGGGAGCTTCTCTGATCCAAGCAGGATGGGGCTTGGATCCCCAGCTTCCAGTCCCACTCAGCAACCCCATCTACCTCAAAGGGGTCTGTGGAACCCCCAGGGGTGTTTGGAGGAAACAAGTTTGAAAATCAAAGATGCTATCTAGGTCCTCTTCCAGTTCTTCCATGGAGAGACCACAAGCTGGAGATCAGGAGAGGCAGAGGCCAGTCCTTGAATGCTGGGTGGCCTTGGCCCAGCCCCTTGCTCTCCAAAGGCCTCAGAGCTGGCTCCTTACTGGCACATGTAGGGTAGCTCAGAGGAGGTGAGGGATGAGTCTATCCTGGGTGCCCTTGAAGCAGAGACCCTGCTCCCAAGGACTGTCCTGACCCCAGCTTCTGCCGCAGCCGGACCAGGACAGCCGGCTGCTGCCCCTGCTAGTCTGCCTGCGCGTCCTGTTCATCCCGCTCTTCATGCTGTGCCATGTGCCCGAGAAGTCCCGGCTGCCCATCCTCTTCCCACAGGATGCCTACTTCATCACCTTCATGCTGCTCTTTGCCATTTCCAACGGTTACCTGGTGTCCCTCACCATGTGCCTGGCACCCAGGTCTGGGGATGGCTGGGAGGGACTGGGAATGGGGAGGTGGGCTAGCTCTCTGAGGGGGGACAAGGGAGGGCCCTTCTGCTCTGGCCAGCCCAGCCCCAGCTGTCTCCAGGCTTGCTGGCGCCGCCCTGTGGGGTCAGGCCTTAACTGCAGGAACTGGGAAGAAGGTGACTCCACTAGGGAGGTTCCTGCCCAGTAAAGTCACCTAGGCACTGGTTCTGGGGCCTCCTCCCTGGGCCTCAGTTTCCCCATCTGTGAAATATACGGGTTGGACTATCATTTCTTAGGGCCTAGCTACTCCCCAAATTCTCAGTTGAAGGAGAGCTGAAGTTTTGCTCAAAAGCAGGGGGCGTGAGCTGTTTACTATAGGGACAGTGGAGTCGAGAATCCAGAGAGGTGGCGGGGGCAGGCAGTTTGGGGACATTTTATCGAGGGAAGGCAGTTGAATCTAGAATCCTATAATAGTGGACCCCAGGGGATCCAGAGTTATCCTTGTCCAGGGTCCTCATTTCACAGATCAGGAAACAAGTCCAGAGAGAGGGGCCTAATTTCCATGACCTGGAGGTTGGGTCAGCCCAGACTAGAACTCAGGTGTCTTGTAAGGAGGGCAGGGGACACTGGGGCTGGGTCCAGGTTTGGCTAGGCATTTTCTAAGAGCTCCTGCCCTTGTGTGTTCTAGGCAGGTACTGCCACACGAGAGGGAGGTGGCCGGCGCCCTCATGACCTTCTTCCTGGCCCTGGGGCTGTCCTGTGGAGCATCCCTCTCCTTCCTCTTCAAGGCGCTGCTCTGAAGGCTCCATGTAGGGTTCTCCCAGCAGCTCTCTTCTCGCTGTGCCTCGGAGCTGAGACCCAGCGCAGAGGAATGGGGAGCCGGGCTCAAGCCTCTGCTGGGCTGCGGCTCCTTGGTCTGGAGGTACCAGGAGGAGGCAGATGCTGTCTCCTCCCCAGGCTGGCAGCCACTTGGGGGCTGCGAGGAAGAATTCTCCACCAATCATTCCAACCCTCACCAGGATGGAGGTGACACACAGAGATGGACAATCTAGACACACATAAGACCTCATTGAAAGGGTGGCAATCAGGGAAAAGAAGGCCGAGGGTCACGGCCCTTCCTCACCATCAGGAGTATTTATTTGTTCATCACAGGAAACAGACCTGCTCATCAAGGGGGGTCGGAGGCCACAGGCGGGGCCTCGCCGAGGGTGTGGCAGGTATGGCCCCGGCCTCAGGTTCAGAGTGGATGTGTGGGCCAGCCCAGGGCAGGGACTTTCCTCTCCCAGCCCTCCGTGACCCCACAGTCAGTCTCAGACCCCAGGACAGAAGATGCAGGGAAGGTGAGGGGAGCAGAGAGAGAGCACGAGTATTAGGGATCGGAGGGAGCTCGAAGGACTCTCTGGGCCTCAAACAGTATTTTCATTGCCAACACTTAACTGTCTCCACTCCTCAGAGCCCCCTGGGCCTGGCCCCAGGTCTGTAGTTAGCCTGTATGTGTGCACTACACTTTACAGTTTGGAAGGCTCTTCCCACCTGCTCTCTCACGAAGCTGAATTGGGGCCCTTGGAGGGAGCCAGGCAGGGGTTGTACTCCCCCTCTGTACAGGTGAGGAAACAGTCCCAGGGGTAAATGACTGGTTCGTGGCAGAGCTGGGACCCAGCCCCGCCTCCCTCCTCCCTGTAGGTGCTGTTCTTCCTGCCTGATTCCTGCTTCTCTTCTTCAAGGGACTCAGGGCAGAACCCACCTTTCTGCTGTTTCTCTCTCTGACCCTGCTCCTGGGTCCAATAACAATCTTCGTCATTTGTATAATGAATTCACTGAGTCTTTCTTTCCAAAGTGCTTTCAGCTCTGTTGGCTTTGATGAGCTGGAGAGGTAGGGGAACGATTATAGCCATTTGGCAGATAGGATGACTGTGGCCCCAAGAGGGGCAGTTTTGTGGGCATCCCTGTGACGGCTCAGGGGCATTGGCCTGCAAGGAGCCCTGTACTCCTGGGCAGAGCACCTGGCTGCAAGGACGACTGTCGCTCTTCCCTTCCTCTGGTCTCTGCCGCCCCAGGCTTCCCCTTCTCAGAAATGGCGCTTTACAGAGGCAGTCAGCCAGTTCTCTAGAGGGATGGGGGAGAGGCTTGCTTCACCACACAACTGTTCTGCCCTGCCCAGCCCAGAGAAAGGCAAGGGTTTTGTTGTTGTTGTTGTTTTTGCCATTTTAGGCACTGGCCTTGCTGCGTACTTGCCCTCCTGCCTTCCATGAACATTCACAGAGCAGCTGTTATATGCCAGGAGCTGAGCCAGCATAGCCCTCTGCTCAGAAGCCAGAGGCTGTTTGCTATCAAAGAGGAAAGTGAAGCAATACATGACTTTGACAGCTGAAATAAAGCCACAGGGAAATCTCAAGTGAGGATTCATTTCTTTGACCACTAGTCAGTGTGCCAGGCCCTGGCTGGTCTGGTGACTCTGAAACAAAGGAGACATGGCCCCTGCTCCCAAGACTATGGGAAGCAGAATGTAACTTGTGGGGATGGGGCTTGTGAGGAGCCTGCAGAAGTGTGTAATGTAAGACTCCAGAAGAGGGCCACTGATCCTACTGGGAAGTCAGGGCAGGCATCCCAAAGGAGGCATTCTGCCCGCTGGGCCTTGAGGCATGAATATGAGTTTGCTGGGCTGGAGTGGGGGAAGGGATCCCAGACAGAGGTACCAGACTATGTGGAAGGCATAGATGTGGAATATTCAGGGAACAGTGGGACTTCTGGCGGGCAGTGGGTGAGGAAGCCCCTAGGATGTGAGGGAGGGAGAAGAGAAGATGAGGCTGTCGCACTGGGTTGGGGACAAGTGATAAAGGACCTTAGTGATGAGGACTAGAGAGTGGAGGAGGGATTCAGGAGAGAAGCGGGTGTCCGCCTCTGCAGAGGCCATTTAGCTTAGCTGTTAAGTGCATGTTCACTGACCCAGAGTCGGGTTCAAAGCCAGGCCCCTTCAGAACGCAAGGTGATTCACACACAAAAACACACCATACACCACATTAATAGAATGAAAGAAGAAAACCACATGATCATCTAAATGGATGCAGATAAAGCATCTGACAAAATCCAACACTCTTTCAAGATGAAAACACCCAACAAACAAGGAAAAGATAGGAACTTCTTCAACCTGATAAGGGGCATTTATGAAAAACCCATAACTGTCATTTTCAATGGTGAAAGACTGAAAGCCTTCCCCCCAGGATCAGGAACAAGAAGAGGATCCCCACTTTCACCAAGTCATCTGTTTACCTTTGTAACGGAAGTTCCAGCCAGAGCAATTTGGCAAGAAAGAAAAATAAAAGGCATCCAAATTGGAAGTGAAGAAGTAAAATTACCCAGATTCACAAGTGGTATATACATACACAGAAAATACTAAAGAATCCACACACATACCCATACAAAACGAGTATAGCTAATAAATTCAGCAAAGTTGCAGGATTCAAGATCAACACAGCCCTGGCCAGTTTGGCTCAGCGGTTAGAGCGTCGACCTGCGGTCCGGAGAGACCCGGGTTCGGTTCCCGCTAAGGGCACGTACTTCGGTTGCAGTTTGTCCCCGGCCCTGGTTGGTCGTTCAGGTGGCAGCCACTTGATGTGTCCCTTCACATCGATGTTTCTCTCTCTCTCTCCCTCCCACTCTATCTGTACGAAAAATGGAAAAATATCCTTGGGTGAGGATAAAAAAAAAAAAAAGATCAACACAGAATATAGTTGTATTTCTACACATACAATTCTGATGAGTGGGTTTTCCCCTCACTAGGTCACACTCTGACACCTGTTGAGCATCCTACAATGTAACTCAATCTGACACTATCTACCTGGAGAGAGCATCGGATTCCACAAGGTGAGAACTCAGATCACAAGACAGCCCCACTCCAGATGCCAGTGGCTTGCTAGTCCAGGTTGTAACCTGCACTTCTGACCAACTGGCTATAAATCAGGTTCGAGCACCCCCTGCCCCATCCTGGGGTTCAATTAATTTGCTGGAGCAGCTCACAACACTTGGAGAGACATTTTCTTACTGGATTACAGGCTTATTATAAAAGGCTATAAGTCACGACCAGCCAGCTGGAAGAGTGTAGGGCAAAGTATGTGGGCAGCAGACCCCTTGTTAATGGTTTTTAACTCTGCTCTTTGAATGTGCCATGCCCTAGTCCATCACAGCCAACCCTCACCCTGGCCAGGTCTCTCTGCCCACAATAGAGGCTTGTGGCCTTCCTCTGTCCCCTTCCATGTGGCTTTCCTTGACACCTGCCAAGCCCCGTCACTATTTTCCAGACCCCCCTTAGACTAGAACCCCTGAGAACACTTCAGAAGCCTCTGATTTAGCCATTCAGTGAACATGAACTGATGCCTGCTGTGTGGTTAGCATTGCAGTAGGTGAGGGAGGAGTATTGTGGGTGATGCCCCAGCAAACTGAGGTAGAAAATAGGTATTGTGTGCATTCTGTAGATGAAACACAAATGTTCAAAGGGCCGGGGGTGGGCAGGGAAGGTGTGGAGACTGGCAAAGAGAAGACCATTTGCAAAGACTCTCACGCTCTGGCCAATTGTTACCTTGGGGAAATGCAGGCCTGGTATTGCCAGGTCTTCCAGAATGAAAACAGAAGTTGGAAATGTGGATTTTATGTCAAATCTCCTGGTCACCAAAGTTAACAACTAACATAATTCAAATTGTTATTTTTATCCCTGGCCGGTTTGGCTCAGTGGTTGGAGCGTTCGCCTGCGGACCAGAGAGTCCTGGGTTTGGTTCCCGCTAGGGGCACGTACCAAAACAAACAAATTGTTATTTTTAAATACTGAGCAAGCAGGTCAAAGAAAACCACATCTGGCTTCTGAGTCTTCAGTTTGCAAGGCCTGAGCTGAAAGAATCTGTGCTAACCTTTCGCCTCTGGCACAGGTCACCGTGAACACCTTCAAGGACAGTACCTGTGTTTCCTGCAAGACTTCATTCCGGGTGCCTAACACAGTCCTTGGTCTGGGCAGCTCAGTCGGTGTTATTGCTGGGGGCTGTGGAATATAGGTCTCCTGGTCAGTCTTCATCTCGACAACCTTGGCTCCCCACCATCCATGGCGTAGTGGAGAAACACCTTACCCTCACACTCCAGGCCCTCCCGGCTGTCCCAGAGCACCTTCTCAAGACTCACAACGCTCAGATAGTTATTCAGTCAAAGTACCTGCCCTTCCCCACAGCCTCTCCTCTTCTAAAAATCCACTGGTCAATTCAATTATTCCACAAACACTCATTAAGTGCCTTCTGTATAAGGCTGGTGTTAGAATATTCAAGACCGTGTGTGTGTGTGTGTGTGTGTGTGTGTGTGTGTAGTGGATACAAGGTCTCCCAGACCGTGTGTGTGTGTGTGTGTGTGTGTGTGTGTGTGTAGTGGATACAAGGTCTCCCTCCTGGGAGAATTGCTGTGGGGAGGAGAATCCTTGGGCTGAATAGAGTAGTAATTTAAATGATCCAACTCCACCCTAACCACCACCACCACCACTTAAGTTCCACTGCTTTAGACAGTAAGGGGGTGCTTCTCTGATTAATACACTAGCCCCTAATTTGGCATTGGCCAGAAGTCCTGTTCTGGTCTTCAAGGTGCCACGGAACGCTGGGCCCTCTGTCCAGGGAGAAAGAAAAGCACACCTCTAACCCTGCTCAGAAGGTTCAGATGCAGAGTATGAAAAGCCCGAAGAGGGAGGAGAGGCATGGTGAACAAAGAGGCCGGTGTTGTGTCTAATTCTCTCCAGACCCGCGGGATATAGAAAATAAAGACTTATCTCCTGTGTAAAACACAACCGACGAGGATGGGATTCGAACCCATGCGTGCAAAGCACAATGGATTAGCAGTCCATCGCCTTAACCACTCGGCCACCTCGTCCCATGTAAAAGTGCTCCTTTTCCAGATTCCCTTATCTCTTACCTCCTCCGTATTCTCCGAGCCTCTATACTCACTTTTAGTGCAGCCTTTGTAGGATCTGCAGGAGGGAGAGACAGCAGAAAGGTTTTGTGTGTCTGTGTGTGCGTGTGCGTGTGCATGTGCGTGTGTGTGTGTGTGTTCCTTTTCTCCCGCAGCAGCCGGGAACCCGCACCATCCTTCACCAAGCTGCAGCTGAGTCCTGCCACGGTTTCCCCTCCCTGAGTCCGGAACGAACGCGCCTAGGTTTCAGGACGCGCTCGGTCCAGGGGGCTCGCGCCCTGGCCGGGAGGGAGTGGGTGCAGTCGTTGGGAACCCGGTGGTGCGGCTGCGGGCAGCTCCAGCATTTGCAAAGCGCGCCGCGCGAGCTGCGATTGCAGTAGCTCCTCCACGCGTGCAGGGGGCGACCTGGCGCGCCCGCTGGTCCGTGCGGGCAGGAGGGGCTGTGCACAGGGCTCGGCTCGCCTCGGCTCGCTTCGGCTGCGCTCGGCGGGCTGCGGTAAATCCGGGCTTGCGGTGGCTGGCAAGGCTGTGGCCGGGTGGTCCCTACTGCGCGCCCCGAGCCCCGAGCCCCGAGCCCCGAGAACCATGCAGATGTCCTACGCCATCCGGTGCGCCTTCTACCAGCTGCTGCTGGCCGCGCTAATGCTTGTGGCGATGCTGCAGCTACTCTACCTGTCGCTGCTGTCCGGGCTGCACGGACAGGAGGAGCAAGATCAGTATTTTGAGTTCTTCCCCCCGTCCCCGCGGTCCGTGGACCAGGTCAAGGCGCAACTCCGAACCGCGCTGGCCTCCGGAGGCGTCCTGGACGTCAGCGGCGACTACCGCGTCTATAGGGGCCTACTGAAGACCACCATGGACCCCAATGATGTGATCCTGGCCACGCACGCCAGCGTGGACAACCTGCTACATCTATCGGGCCTGTTGGAGCGCTGGGAGGGCCCGCTATCCGTGTCAGTGTTCGCAGCCACCAAGGAGGAGGCGCAGCTGGCCACGGTGCTGACCTACGCGCTGAGCAGCCACTGCCCCGATATGCGTGCCAGAGTCGCCATGCACCTCGTGTGTCCCTCGCGCTATGAGGCTGCTGTGCCCGATCCCCGGGAGCCAGGGGAGTTTGCCCTGCTGCGGTCCTGCCAGGAGGTCTTTGACAAGCTAGCCAGGGTGGCCCAGCCTGGGATCAATTACGCGCTGGGTACCAATGTCTCTTACCCCAATAACCTGCTGAGAAATCTGGCTCGTGAGGGGGCCAACTATGCTCTGGTAATCGATGTGGACATGGTGCCCAGCGAGGGATTGTGGAGAGGCCTGCGAGAAATGCTGGATCAGAGCAAGCAGTGGGCAGGGACAGCGCTGGTGGTGCCTGCCTTTGAGATCCGCCGAGCCCGCCGCATGCCCACAAATAAGAATGAGCTGCTGCAGCTCTACCAGGTGGGCGAGGTGCGGCCCTTCTATTATGGGCTGTGCACGCCCTGCCAGGCGCCCACCAACTACTCCCGCTGGGTTAACCTTCCCGAAGAGACCTTGCTGAGGCCTGCCTACGTGGTGCCTTGGCAGGATCCGTGGGAGCCATTCTACGTGGCTGGAGGCAAGGTTCCCACCTTCGATGAACGCTTTCGTCAGTACGGCTTCAATCGTATCAGCCAGGTGCCTATAAGGGAGAGGGTAGGGGAAATGGGGCAGGAAGGGTGCGAGGTCAAGAAGCTATGAGTGGCCCTGGATGGGAAGGGGGCATCGAGGCAGGAAGGATCATAGTTCAGTAGTGGTTGGATGTTGTGGAAGATCCAGGATGCTCTTCCAGAAGAGAAGGGATGCTGGAGTTGGCTTTAGGGATGTCAGTCTTGGCCCTAAGGAATGTCATCAAACTTTGCTGACTTATCTCTCCCCCCCACAGGCCTGTGAGCTGCACGTGGCAGGATTTGATTTCGAGGTGCTGAATGAAGGTTTCCTGGTTCATAAAGGCTTCAAAGAAGCCTTGAAGTTCCATCCCCAAAAGGAGGCTGAAAATCAACACAATAAGATTCTTTACCGCCAGTTCAAACAGGAGTTGAAGGCCAAGTACCCCGACTCCCCCCGTCATTGCTGAGTCCTACCCTGCCCTAGTCTGAGAAGTCTCAGTTTCCTCTCTCCTTAGGCCACCCCTCAGGCCTGACAGGGGTAAGAAACGTCACTCCACTTTCCAGTGGTAGCTGTGGTGTTGGAACACTGGACTTGAATATGAGGTGCTGGGATCAAGTCCTAGCTTTACCACTAACTAGCTGTGTGGCCTTGAGCAAATCCTGTTCCCTCTCTGAGCCTCAGTTACTCCGTCTGTAAAAAAGGAGGTGAAAATATCTACCTCACAGAACTGTTGGGAGGCTCAGATGAGATGCTATATGTGAAAACATTCTGTAAGCTTCGTACAAATGTGAAGTATTATTAGTATTATTACAGTATTATTGTTATTATTGTTATTATTAACAATCTTGGGTGGGTAGGCAGTAGGAGAGCAAAAAGTATGAATGGGGCAGAGATGAGAAGACTTGAGTACTTAACAAAATGGGCTTTTGGGAAAGAAATCAGATAAAGGCTTTGAATTTAGTTCTTAGCTTTTGGGCTGAAGCCTAAACTTCTTGGTTCTCCCAGGACTCGGGAGTTCTGGAGAAGGGAAGGGTCTGCAAGTTCTGTACCCTCGAATAGGCTCGGCTGGGTTATTTGCCTACCAATGACAATTTGTAAATAAATGAGTGTTCACAACCACAGCTGGCTCCATTACTCTCCTGAACCGGGCAGGCGGAGGGGTCGCGGGTTCTTCTCTTTCACGCCGCGGGGAGTTGGTGGAAGATGACCGCAAACCAAGGGGCACCAGCTGTAAAACAAGGAAACCACAAGGGTTTTTTCGGTGTGAATGTCGACCGGTTGCTATAGAAACCAGTGCACGGTATCCCAGCATGCTTCACGTCAGCTGTCCAATTGTGAGGTTCCCAACGGGCGCCTGTTGATGACGAATACGGAAGCGCGGGCAGGCCCCGCCTCCCGGTAAAGAGGGACGGGCGCAGCGCTTCCGGGAGTCGGGCAGCGGCGGCCAGCACCCGCAACTGCGGGCACCAGGCACCTGTCAGAGAGTCTCGGACTTGAGGCCGGAGGCTCTACTCCCTGCGGTGCGTAACGCCACCCATGGTGTCCAGTTCGGTTTCTCCAGCTAGTCGGTTGGAGCCCGCCCAATCTCCAGGGCCGAAGCGCAGACTTAACCGGCCGGACGCGTGCAGGGCCGCGGGCCCCAAGCTGGCAGCGGAAGAGCCAGTGGTTCTGCTGCTCGCGCCAGCCTGTACTGGGATGGAGCGGGGCGGGAGGCCCCGGGCGCGCCTTGGAGGGGCTGAGTTGTCCTCTTCGAGGGTGGGGACCGTGGAGGCCTGCCTTCGAGATGCTCACTTTCTGAAAAAATAACTTGCATGTGCACAGCGCCTTACAATTTGCTTTTCCATCCCTTACCCCAGCAATCTTTACAACACTCAGAGTAGCAGTGGTTATTCCCTCTCTACCCGGGGTAAGGAGAGGAGATTGTGATTTAATTGGGCTCGTTCAGTAGAATAAGAGGCACCTGGAGGAACTACCCCCCTCTCCACCCCCGCCCTTTCTGGTCCCGATTACGTTGCATCTTGCCAAGTAAATATACTTAACAGCGAAGAGGAATTGCAGAATTTGGAAACTGCTGGAACTAAGGCTTGAGAATGGAAACGATGAGACAGGTTTGGAGAATCGGGGTGTTTTCAGATCAGGTTCAGGCTATTTGTGAAATCATTGAGGAATGTGACTAAACTCTCCTCAAGTCCAGTTATTTTACAAAACTGGAATTGCTTTCAAGGAAGGTTAACAGAACACTTTGGGTTTGCTACCACTACAGGGGCCTGGGGCTAGCAGTAGTAAAAGCCAACCCCTGCCTCTCAAAAGTTTGTTTTGTTTAATTTGTATTTTCGAATCCTCCAGTCATCAAGTGAGTCAGTACTGTGCTAGGCGAATAAGGCACATGTGCAGCCCTGCCCTGGTGAGGTTTGGGGTCTCATGAGATGGGCAAATAGAGAGGAATTGTAAGCAAATAAGGCTTCCTGGAGTAGGGTCTACTCCAACCTAAAGGACTACAAAACAGTACACAGAGAAGTTGGAAGAACATCACAGTGTAACGGAACCTTCAGTAGGCAGAGAGATTATCTGTTGAGAGGCCTATTTAGTCTCCTCTTAGATGATCTCTTGGCAGCATTTGGTACTGCCACCTCTTCCTTCTGGAATTCTCTCCATGACTTTGAGTTTTTCATCCTCCACCTCTTGGTAATTTCCTTCTCCTTTGCAGAGGTCTCATCTTCGGCCCCTTTGGTGACCCTGAGAGTTCTATCACGGATGTCTTCTCACTCCTCACATTATGCCTTGCTGGTTGCACCCTCTCTCAGAGTCTGAAGAACTTTCTCTGTGCCATTGACCAGATCTCTGCAGCCCAGATTTCTCTGAGGCTGAGACTCATGTGCCCCTTCTGTCATTTCGGGGCCTTTGCATGTGCTGCTCTACTTGAAATGCTCCCTCCGTCGACCAGATCAGCTCATCTGTCTGGCTCACCTTCGTCTGCAAGCACTCATGCTGCAGCAGCTCCAGGGCCCCGTTAGATGCCTCTCCCACACGCCCCCGCTCTCAGCTCTTCTCTCACCACACTAATCGATGTTTCTTTGCCTTTCTTCCCCAGGAACTTGTAAACAACACAACTGTCTGTCACAGTTGTGCCCAGCACCTACCATGGTGTCTGATGAGTGAATAATATATTCACTTCAATAAATATTAGATGAGTGAATAAAAGAAGGAATGCTGCCCTGGCCAGTTTGGCTCAGCGGTTGGAGAATTGGCCTGTGGACCAGAGAGTCCCGGGTTTGGTTCCCGCTAGGGGCACGTACCAAAACAAAAGAAGAAGGAATGCTTAACAGTGTGCAGTGTTGCTGAGAAAGCAGCTATGATAAGCACTGAAAAATATTGGCATTAGTCACAAGGAGGTTGTGGGTTAACTACAGGATTAGTGTCAGCTGTGTGGGGATGCAGAAACAAATCGCAACAAGGAGGTGAAAGAGCAGGAAGAGCAAGTATGCACAGGCCTCGAAAGGTGTAGCTGTGAGGTGGAAATGGGGAGCAGTTCAATGGAATGGGGTGAGGTTTCTGCTTTTCCTAAATGGTGGGAAATTACCTGAGCATGTCCCAAGTTCCACGGAAAGGAACTGCCAGGAGGGAGCGCTGCAGACGAAGGCCCAGAGGAAGCAAGAATGGGACGGCCCAGGGCACAGTGAGAAGACAAGAGGTTGTAGAGCGTTCTCAGGAAGAGACATGGAGGGCATTATAAGCAGAAGGAACGGCACAAGGTGCCTGGTGTATTCAAGACTTGGCTATTAGGTGGTGGGGTGAAGGAGCTGGACCAGTGGTTCGACTCTAGTCTGTGCAGGGCCTTGAAAGCCGCAGTCAGAACTTCGGGCCCAGTCCCGCAGGCAGTGGGGAGCCCACCGTTGGCCTTTCCCATCTTATGGATCATCACCTTGGTCAGGATTCCCAGGATTGAGATCACCAACAGTGTCCAGGGTCATGAGCATTTCCATGGCTTCTGGGAGATGTGCAGGCAGGGCCACTTGCACCTTCTCCACCCAGTGTGTGCTCAGGGTGTGGCGAGTCCAGTCACTTCCCCAGCTGCGGTCGGGCTTCACTTGACTCCTCTAGTGGCCACTTTCCTGTTTGGAGCTGTGGGCAACGGGGAGTGATGGCTCCACTCCTCCTTCCAGAGCCCAGATGCCGATCCAGCCTCCAAGCAAAGACACAGAAGACATGGAAGGAGAGGGCGATTCAGCCGCTGAGATGAATGGGGAGGAAGAAGAGAGTGAGGAGGAACGAAGTGGAAGCCAGACCGAGTCTGAGGAGGAGAGCTCAGGTGAGAAACGCGCGCGTGTGCACGCACGCGCGCACACACACACACACACACACACACACACGAGTGCCTGCCCACTCCTCAGCTGGCCCTGACTGGCCTCTTGTCCCAGAGATGGACGATGAGGACTACGAACGGCGCCGCAGCGAATGCGTCAATGAGATGCTGGACCTGGAAAAGCAGTTCTCAGAGCTAAAGGAGAAGTGAGCGCGGGACACCTGGGGCTGGGTCTTCGGACCGCTGGGGTGAGGAGGCTGCAGGCAGAGGTGGCTGAGGCCAGGAGTGAGCGAGAGCCTAATGCAGGGCCTGCCATGGGTCAGGTCCTCCATATGTGTTTACGGATGAGCACATTCTACCTCCCAGGTTGTTCAGGGAACGACTGAGTCAGCTGCGGATGCGGCTGGAGGAAGTAGGGGCTGAGAGAGCGCCTGAATACACAGAGCCCCTGGGGGGCCTGCAGCGGAGCCTCAAGATTCGCATTCAGGTGGCAGGTTTGTGGGCTGTCCTGTGCCCGGGTGTGGCCCCCAGTCTCCCTCCCTGTTCCCCTACCAACCCATGGTCCCTTCCTGTCACCCCTGCCCTGCCCATGGCACTACTTTTGGGGCACTGGGGTCCCTGGGCAAGCTGGGCCTCTCATCCCCCTCCCTCCCTCTGCAGGAATCTACAAGGGCTTCTGTCTGGATGTGATCAGGAATAAGTATGAGTGTGAGCTGCAGGGAGCTAAACAGCACCTGGAGGTGACTGATGGGCGCCTAGGGAGGAGGACTGAAGTGGCCCACCTGTCCCTCTTGGCTGAGCTGCTCCCTCCTCTTCCAGAGTGAGAAGCTGCTGCTCTATGACACCCTGCAGGGGGAGCTGCAGGAGCGCATCCAGAGGCTGGAGGAGGACCGCCAGAGCCTGGACATCAGCTCTGGTGAGGCAAGGGGTGGCCCTGAGCCCCTTGTCCCAGGCCTGGCTCTGTCAGTGCCCACCTCCTGCCTGGACCGTAGCCTCCCTGCCTGCTCAAGGGGATAGTAAGAGGGGTGGCTATGGGGACCGAATGAAACCAGGCACGGAAGGGGCCTGGCCCAGTGCCTGGCACACAGTGGGGGTCTAGGAAGAGTGGGTCCCCCTGTTCCCCTTTGCCCCTGCTCTCTTTCTAGAACAGGAGGTAACATTCTGACATCCACACACACAGTAGCCATAGTCCCCTCCATATCCATAGTGCCTACCATTGTACAGGGCTCTGGGGAGGCAGGAATTGTCATCATTCCACTGTTCACTAAACAAATGAAGAAACTGAGGCCCAAAGACATGCAGTGACCTCTTTCCCAGGTTGTATATCCGTGCAGTTGGGACCTGAACTCAGCTTCCAACCCCCAAGTCCAGGGTTCTCTCTGCTGTCCTGGGAGGTGGTGAATGGGGAAGGGCAGGCTCGGAGGGTGGGGTTGTCCTGGGAGGGCCAGCACCATGATCCTGACTCTGGGTCTGGGGACACAGAGTGGTGGGATGACAAACTGCACGCCAGAGGCAGCTCAAAGACCTGGGACTCCCTGCCGCCCAGCAAGAGGAAGAAGGCACCCCTCGTCTCTGGTATCCTTCCACCCACAGGGCCTGAGCGGGGCAGGATGGCCGGGCCAGCTCCAGAGCCGGGGGAGGGAGTGGAAGGGCGTGGAAGAGAGAGTCAGACTAGACACATTTGTGGTCACTTGGCCTCATGTGGCCGTGCTCAGGCAGACCCAGCTGTCAGGAATTTTTGTGGGGTGTGGGTCTCTCCTGGGCTGTGTAGACTGGCAAAGCAGAAACATCCGTTCAGTGACCTCCCATGACTTCCCTCAGGCCCTCTGGCTCTCCCCAGTCCCAGGCCTTCCCACCCCATGCCCTCGTCGTGGAGCGCCTTCTGCTGTCTGCCTGTTCAGCGCTTGTCTCAGACGCGCTCTCCTGTGAAGCCTCTCAGCCTTCTCCCAGTAGCTATGGCTTCTTTCTTCCTTTCTGTCTTTCTGTCTTTGTCTCTGTCTTTCTGTCTGTCTGTCTTTCTGTCTTTCTTCCTTTCTTTCTGTCTTTCTTTCTTTCTTTTTGGTATGTGCCCCTAGCGGGAACCGAAACTGGGACACTCTGGTCCGCAGGCTGACACTCCATCCGCTGAGCCAAACCGGCCAGGGCTATGGCTTTTTTCTTATCTGCATCCTTGTGGCCTAACCCGGGCCACCCGCATCCCATATGGGAGCAGTTGCCTCCGCCCCACCTTAGGCATGAGCCCCTTCAGTTCAGGGCCTGCTGTGCCTTTATCCTTCTGGCATAGCCCAGCGCAGAGCCGAACTGAATTCTCACCCCTGCTCCCACCCCTTCCCACGTTCCTGCAGTGACCAGTCTACAGGCATCCACCGCCTGGTGATAGGAATCAGGTTCAGGAAGGAAGGGCGGGAGGAATCTGGACTGCACGGACTTGAGGAGTGAATGGGAGGTGAGGGTGTGGAGTTGTCAGGTACAGAGTACAGGAGGGCAGAGTGGATGGTCCCCAGAGGGGCGTGTGAGACCAAAGGAGGATTGTTACCAGAATGGAAGAGACTGGAGTCTATGTGTAGATGGGGAAAGGGGCCAGATGAGAGGACAGGAATAGAAGAAGCAAAGTCCCTAAGGTGGGATGGGCCTTGGCCTACTGACCTGGAGACCGGGGAGAGGAGGTGAGCAGGAGCCCAGATAGGGAGGCAGCAGACTCGGTGAATAGGCCATAGCCACACACACCCACCCAGAGAACCCGGGGGGCCAAGAGGTAGGAGGTGGAACCCGAGCTCTAACCCATGTCCTAAGCATTACCTCTTGGTGTTAGAGCTCTTGGGCCCTGCCCTGGCCGGTTTGGCTCAGCGGTTAGAGCGTCAGCCTGCGGTCCTGAGAGCTCCTGGGCCCAGGCCGTCACCTGTCCCCTGCTCTGTGCTTTCTGCTTCCTTGACCCTGCTGCAGGCCCTTACATCGTGTACATGCTGCAGGAGATCGACATCCTGGAGGACTGGACAGCTATCAAAAAGGTGCGTCTCAGAAGGGCCTGGCAGTGCAGGTCCCACCCCGGACACCAGCTCGGCTCTGCAGGCTCTCTACCCCGGGCTTTCTGAGCCTCCCTGGTGTTGCTGCCAGCCCATAAGCCATTTGCCCAAGGCTGCTCTGGAGGAGGGAGCTTCTTTCTTGTTCCAGGGCAGGCTGTAGAGGGTGGGAGAAAGGGATGTTGGCAAAGCGGCTGGGCTAACCAGGCCTCTGACAGGAGGTCACATCAGAGCTTTGTCTAAAAAGTGTCTTGTGCTCCCCTCCCAACCAGTGCACACTGGCCCAGCAGCCCTTGCCCCGGAGCGGCTGGTGTGGAGGGGACTTGCCAAGCTGGAGGCAGGCTCTCAGCAGGGCTTTTCTTCTCCCCCACCCAGGCTAGGGCAGCTGTATCCCCTCAGAAGAGAAAGCCAGATGGTAAGAACCACAGGGCGTTCCCACCTCCTCCACCCCTTCCCCAGCCTTGCCTCCAGAAAGGAGCCCAGCGAAAGGCACTGGCTGTGTCAGATCAGTGGCCCAGAGTCCGGACAGTGGGGTTTGGGGGCACTGTGGGAGTTTGGGAGCAGGAACCAGGGTGGGGGTGGGGAAGCCCTGAGTTGATGGGGCTCGGGGATAGAGGAGTTCCCACCAGGGTTGGTCAGGGAGGGCTGGAATACTAAGCCCCAGCAGCTGGGGGGCTCTGGGGACCCAGAGTACTGATGGGCCCACAGGTGAGGGCCAGGCCAAGGCCACTCCTCTTAGTTCCCCAGATGAAGTGCTACCTCCCTCTCATTTCAGCCTCCTCTTACCTGCAATGATTTTCCCCTTCCCACATACCCCCAGGACCTTGACCCTGTGACTCACAGCCAATGGCCCTGCCACCTCGGAGCATCAGGCACCAAACCCAGGATTTGCATTTTCCTGCTGCCAAAAGGCAGACTGACAAGCCCCTCAGGGTCCTCCGGTGCCCTGCCCTCCAGCCATCACCGGTCTGGACTCCTGCCCCTCAGGGCTTGGACAGCTGTGGCCCGTAGCTGTTCTAGTCAGGCAACACTGTCCTCCATCCCCAACCAGCCCCTGCCTTCCCTGCCAGAGGTCCGGCCCTCGGTCCGATCCGCCCTGGCAAAGACCTGCCCCTCCTAAGCACATCCTTCCTGCTGACCTTGGACCTGGCTCCGTCACCGAGCCAGTGAGTTGGTCCCACTTCATAGGAACTCTGAGCCAGAAATTACAGTTTGGGGCCCTGTCCTGGCTCCTGCCACGGTGAGAAGACAAGCTCCCCAGGTCTCCTCAAGGCAGCCCTTGGCGCCCGCCTCCCACGTTGTGGGGACTGGAATTAAAACATTTCCTGGGTCTCTGGCGTGACCCACGTGCGTCTGATTTACCTTGCAAGGCAATCACAGCTCCCATGGGGAGTGCTGACACAGGCAGTCTCTCCTGGGCTCCCTGTACCTCTCACTGCCCAGCAGGAGCCTGCCCACTCTGCCTTGGGGTATGGACTGGGGAAAGGGGGACTCTTCTACCCCCCCCCAAGAGGCAGGGGTGCTGGGCCCTGGACTGCCTGGTGCTGGTGACAGTCTGAAGCAGCATGTGGCACAGGCCGAACACGTGGCCTCAGGTGCGGAAGGGAGCTTGGGTGCTCCGTGCTTGGAGACTGGGTCATGCCTGCACCTGCCCCAGTCCCTGGCAGATTGGCAAGGCAGGCTGGCAGGGCCCGTGTGCGTGGGAGGCAGCCGGCAGCAGTGCCATGTGCTGACACCTCACAGCCAGGCTCTCCTGTTTAGTGCTGAGTGTTAGAACCACCCCCAGAACCTCAGTTAAGCAAAGGGGTTCGTTTCCATGGAGACAGGACATCCTTTCTCCATGGCAACCTGAAATTCCAAAACCCAGTTAGGTTTAGGAATGAGTCATCTGTGACCAGTAGGAGGCACTCTCTCACAAGGCTGACCCCAAGGCGGACAGTTAAGCAATTGACCACTAAAAGCTGCCTCAAGGGCAAGGCTTGGGCCTGTGGGGAGGAGACCGGCCCCGCTTAACCCCTTCCCCGCTGTGGTCCGAGAAGGCTGCTGCAGGGAGCTCCTGTGGCGGCGGCAGCAGCCCCACAGCTGGGGCCCTCCTCAGAGTGGCATTTGCATGGAAAGGATCCCTGTCCCCCGGGGCTGGGCCCAGAACAGAGGAAGTGGGCACTGCCCAGGCTGAGTGGACACAGAAGAGTTAACTGGTGGGGTGTGACAGGGCGCACCGCCCTCAGGAAGTGTTACTCACCACCGGGAATGCTCTTGCCTTGGGGCTGGATTGTCTTCCTGAGTCCCAGAAGTAACCGAAGGAGCTCCCTGCCATGGAAACCCCTGGGGAGCCTGGGGCAGGCCCTCTTGGAGCCCCCAGCCCTTCCAACTCCTCTGCGCCTGGGCACCTGGAGACGGAAAAGTTAGTGAAGTTGGAAGGGTGGCCCGGCGGGGCTGGGAGGGACTGCAGAGCGGGGTCTATTCCAGGGCAGAGGAGGGGGAAAGGGTTGGGCAAGGATCCCAGCCCCTGGCCGCCTGCTCAGGTCTGGGGCCTGCCTCCAGGCCAGCCCAGGACCCGCTGTACGACGTGCCCAGTGCCGGCGGGGTGCAGGCAGGTGGGCCCCAGCGGCCGGGGCGCGCCGTGAGCCTGCGGGAGCGCCTGCTGCTCACACGGCCAGTGTGGCTGCAGCTACGGGCCAACGCGGCGGCTGCGCTGCACGTGCTGAGAGTCGAGCCCCCCGGGGTGAGTCTTGCCCTTACCCCCAGGGACAGGCCAGCGGAGGGGGGAGGGAGACAGACTGGACACGAAGGTCCTGAGCCTCCGACCCATCCATTCTCAGACATTCCTGGTGCGGAAATCTAACACTCGCCAGTGCCAAGCTCTGTGCGTGCGGCTGCCTGAGGCCAGTGGCCCTTCCTTCGTCTCCAGCTACTACATCCAGGAGAGGCCCGGGGGTGAGAGGGACTCGCCTAGAGGGAAGGGGCTGGAAGCAGAGGCTGGGCGCAGGGGGATTCCACAGAGAACAGCCTCATTTCCCATCTCTCAGGCGTCTCCTTGGAGGGATCTGAGCTCGTCTTCCCTGACCTAGTCCAGCTCATCTGCGCCTACTGCCACACCCGGTGAGCCTGCCTGCAGGTGCCTGGTGTCCATGGGACACCCTGTCCTCCCCGCCCCTGCAGCCCTAAGCATCCCTCACTTCTGACTTTCTGCCCCCTCTCTGGCCTCAGGGACATCCTCCTCCTCCAGCTCCAGCTCCCCAGAGCCATCCGCCAGGCAGCCACCCACAAGGAGCTGGAAGCCATCTCCCATTTGGGCATTGGTAAGGGCTCTCCCCTGCTGCCCATTGCACAGATGGCCAAACTGAGGCCAAGGGAGAAGGGAAGGCATTCGGGCACAGAGCCTGAGCCCGTGTCTTGCCCTCCGTTGGGCACACTGCCTGACTGTCCCTGAGGCCCCAGTCGGTTTCTCTTCCCTAGAGTTCTGGAGCTCCTCCCTCAACACCAAGGCTCAGCCAGGCCCATGCGAAGGCCCACCGCTGCCCCGGCTGAAACCCCGCTCCCCACAGGAGCTGGACCAGGGCACCGGAGCTGCCCTGTGCTTCTTCAATCCCCTGTTCCCAGGGGATCTGGGCCCCACCAAGCGGGAGAAATTCAGGAGGAGTTTCAAAGTATGCGTATCCACAGAGACCTCTAGCCCCCTGTCTCCACCCGCTGTGCCGCCTCCCCCTGTCCCAGTACTGCCACAGGCAGCCCCCAACCATACAAAAAGGTTGCCCCCTCACCAGCTGCTGCGGAGGGAGAGCTCAATGGGGTACCGTGTGCCAGGGGGTGCCAGCCCCAGCCTCCCTCCGCTTCCCTCCCTCCAGGAGGTAGACTGTGGTTCCCCCAGCAGCTCCGAGGAGGAGGGGATACGGGGGTCTCAGGGGAGTCCAGTGACCTCACCCTGCCTGAGTCGCAGGGGTCGCAGGCGGCCTTTGCTTCGGTCCATGAGCGCTGCCTTCTGCTCTCTGCTGGCACCTGAGCGGCAGGTGGACCGGGCAGCCTCGGCATTGATGCAGGACCGCCACACAGCTGTGGGCCAGCTGGTGCAGGACCTACTGACGCAGGTGCGGGCTGGCCCGGAGCCCCAGGAGCTGCAGGGTATCCGTGAGGCACTGAGCAAGGCCCGGGTCATGCTGAGCGCTGAGCTAGGCCCTGAGAAGCTGCTGCCGCCCGATAGACTGGGTGAGACTCCAGCCCAGGCCTTCACTGGTTCAGCTCTGTCTCTCGAGTCGCAACTCTTACCCACGCTGCTCTCTCCTCCTGCCCGCAGTGCCAGCCTGTCTCTCTCGTCTCACCACCCTTCAAGTGAATTCCATGCCCCATTTCTCACCTCCCCCACTCTCCTGTTCTTCGCTTCATCCCTGTCCCTCCTGGACTGTGTCCCTTCTCCTCGGAGCTCTGCCCCCCACCCGCTGTGGTTCCCCTGACCCCTGCCTCTGCTCCTCAGAACATGTCCTGGAGAAGTCACTACATCGCTCGGTGCTCAAGCCTCTCCGGCCCATCCTGGTGGCCCGACTCCAGCGCCGGCTTTCTGCCGATGGCTCCCTGGGCCACCTGGCTGAAGGCTTCCGCCTGGCCCGGGCCCAGGGCCCTGAAGCCTTCGGGTCCCACTTGAGCCTGCCCTCCCCGGCAGAGATGGAGCAGATTCGCCAGAAGCTGCTGCAGCTGCTCCGCACCTCCTCGCCCAGCGCCCAGGTCAAGCGGCTCCTACAGACCTGCAAGCTGCTCTACACGACCCTGAGGACCCGCGTGGGTGCGCCCCCCACCCCGGCTGGCAGAGGCAGGCCCCAGGCAGACTCCAGGAAAGGCATAGCAGAGGAAGACGGGTCTGACTCCCGTCTCACAGATGGTCTGACTGAGGCCCAGATGGTAGAGCGTCCTCCCCAGCCCCCGCTCTGATTACTGTAGTGACCACATTGCCCAAGGCCTGGCGGGTGGAGGGGAGGGTCACTGTCTAAGACAAGGACGAGGACTCTGACTCTGAGGCCCCAGAGGCGCCTGAAGCTTTCTTCTCCACCCCACAGGAGAGGGCGCAGGGGCCGATGAGTTCCTCCCGCTGCTGAGCCTGGTCCTGGCCCAGTGCAACCTTCCTGAGCTGCTGCTGGAGGCCGAGTACATGTCAGAGCTGCTGGAGCCTGCCCTGCTTACCGGAGAGAGTGAGGACCCCACACGCCACTCTGGGTGGAGCTAGAGCGCCAAGGCGCTGCGTGGCCAGAGCGAACGGGAGAGCGAACATGTCACCCAAACCCGCCCTGAGCTGCACTCTTCCCCATGTCCCAGGTGGCTACTACCTGACCAGCCTGTCTGCTAGCCTGACCCTGCTGCGTGGCCTGGGCCAGGCCCACACCCTCCCCCGGAGCCCCTCGCAGGAGCTGCAGCATTCCCTCAGCCTCTGGGAGCAGCGCCGCCTGCCCGCCACCCACAGCCTCCAGGTACCTGCACAGCCTCCACCCCGAGCTGAGACCCAGGGGAAGGCTGGTCCTGCGTCACCTGCGACAGCACCGGCACTCCATGCAGAACAAACGTCAAGGCCAGCCAGCCTTTTTTTTTCCTATTCCTCACCCGAGGATATTTTTCTGTTTACCATCAGATAGTGTGGGAGGGAGGGAGAGAGACATCGATGTGATAGAGCCACATCAACTGGTTGCCTCCCACAGGACCCGACCAGGGCTGGGGACAAACTGCATCTGAAGCACGTGCCCCTGACTGGAATTGAACCTGTGACTCACTGGTCTGCGGGCTGATGCTCTAACTGCTGAGCCAAAGCGGCCAGGGCTCAAGGCCAGCCTTTCTAGAGAGAGTCCATTCAGTGTGCCACACTGTGCTCTAGGAACTCAGCCCTGAGTCTTCACAGAAACGGCCATCATCATCCCCATTTTATAGATGAAGAAACTGAGACATGACATGGAGAGGGAAGGGGACACAGGTGGCAGGCTCAATCCCCAAATCCTGGCTTCCAGCCCATGCGCCCCCCCTTCCCATCTGGGCTCAAGCCTGGTGTTCTCAGACCAGACACTATCCCTGCCCCTTCACCCTCCTCTCCGTCCTTCCTAGCCTTGGTTAAGAGTCCAGACTTTGTAGCCAGATCTTGGGTTCAAATCCTGACTCTTACTTTCTGGTTGTGGGAGCTTGGGCAACTTAGGAAAACAACTTGAGCCTCAACTTTCTCACATATAAAATGAGATAACAGTATGTGCCTCCTGGGACTGATGTGAAGATTAAATGAGTTAATGCAGGACAAGTGCTCAGGACACAGAGTCAGCTCCAGCTGAGCATGAGTGTCAGGCTGGAGAGGCCTGGGGGCCATCTTTGCAGCCTGTAGTGTGACCCACGAGCCCAAGCAATCTCTCCCTTCCTCAGGGACCCGTGGGACCTCACCTTATCCAAACAGCTTTTTGCATTTGGTTCTGCCACTGGATTTATACCACCCGCCCCCGTCTCTGCAGAGCCTGACCTGGGGCCTCAGGCTTTGCAGCCAGATATGTACCAGGCAGGGCTGAGTTCTTGTTTTTTTTTTATCCTCGCCTGAGGACATTTTTCGATATTTTGTTCAGATAGAGTGGGAGGGAGAGACAGAGAGAGAGAGAGAGAGAGAGAGAGAGAGAGAGAGAGAGAGAGAAAGAGAAACATCGATGTGAAAGGGACACGTCGAGTGGTTGCCACCCACACGACCCAACCAAGGCCAGGGACAAACTGCAACCGAGGTACGCTCCCTTAGCAGGAACCGAACCCGTGTCTCTCGAGACCGCAGGCTGACACTCTAACCGCTGAGCCAAACCGGCCAGGGCTGAGTTCTTGTTTTTGCTTCTCCTACACAGCATCTCCTCCGAGTAGCCTACCAGGACCCCAGCAGTGGCTGCACCTCCAAGACCCTGGCTGTGCCCCCAGAGACCTCGATTGCCACCCTGAACCAGCTCTGTGCCACCAAGTTCCGAGTGACCCAGCCTGAGACTTTTGGCCTCTTCCTGTACAAGGAGCAGGGCTATCACCGCCTGCCCCCTGGAGCCCTGGCCCACAAGCTTCCCACAACCAGCTACCTCGTGTACTGCCGCCAGGCTGAGTGGCCTGAGACACAGGGGGCCTCACTTGGGGGTGCAACAGAGGAGGGCAGTGGGGAACCAGGGGCAGGGGGCAAGGAGGAGGAGAAAGAGGGCCGGGGAGATGGGGACACTGAGGTCAAAGCCAGTCAAAGAGACAGTAGGGGACAGTCTGTGACAACTGCCATGCAGGACGAGAGCCAGGCCGGGGGAGGCCCTGCCCAGCCAGGCGGGCCAGGGGCTGAGGGACGCCAGGCAGCAGAAGAGTAGCTGGGAGTGGCCAGAATGGCCCTTGGGGGCAAGAAGCTCAGCCTGCTGGGAAGGCCGTTTGGAGCCATCAGCCTCGCTGACCAAGGCCATAGCCCCTTAGCCTTCTCCCGCTGGCCTCTCTGGTGTCTGCCCTGCCTTTGCCGACACTTATTCCTGTGACCTGCCTGCTGGGGGAGCGCCTGGACGGCCACATCGGGGACACTGAGTCAAGTCGAGGGAGCTTGGGCGACCCAGACCAAGGGCCCAAGGTCCTTTGCCTCTTGCCCTTCTACCCCAGCTGGAGGCCGGCCCGCCTGCAGTGGTGAGTGTGCCCAACCTCTGGCAGCCGGGGAGGGGCCACTGCCCAGCAGCCCCTCTGAGCGGGATCCCCAGACCCTGAAAGGCTCCGCCTACTCCTGGGTGTCAGGAGGATTCAAGGAGGCAGCAGGAGCCGAGGCCCAGTCCTGTTCCAGACCACCACCTACCTGGAGGATTCACACCCCCAAACCTCAGTGTCCTCACTGTAAAGGGGGGTGCCCTGCCATCCTGTCTTTTCCCAGAAGCCTTCCAGGAGCCAAAATGGATGGTTTTGCTACAGAGCAGAGCTCAGTCTGTGGGAAGGAGGGGGAAGGAGGGGGGATGTTAATGCTGCCAAAGGCTGATACCCTCGTCAGCCTGCCCCCACCCTGGAGGAACACTCACGTTCGAGTCTTTCCCCACGATGGGACGTCCTCCCAGACCCTCAGCATCCCCGGGGGGATCGGACAGGGAGACAGGCTTCCAAATGGGTGGGGGAGGGGAGCTTGCAAACCATTTTCTCTGCACTTGACTCTTGGGCCTCACCGGAGCTTTATGGGTGGCCATGCTCATTACACACTGACATTCGGGAGAGCGACTCACGATATCACACAGCAGGCCATTAGGGGTTCCCCCACCCAAGCCAGGGCGTCAGGTTCCAACTGCATCCTCAGCCCTTCTAAGCCACCAGTAAACTAACGCTCTGAACCCAGTAGAGCAGGCAGCACATCTGAGCAAAGAAAATGCCGGCAATGGCCACAAGGAGGTGCCTGCAGCCCAGGAAGCTACAGAATGGGTGACACCAAGGGGCCAGGGTGGCTCCAGGGCCTCAGCAGCATAAGTATCCACAGACTTTGCACTTTGCAGCCAGCCACCAGGCAGCTGGGGACAGCAGGGGCTGAGACTGCTGGCCCCCAGCTCCCTGGGGGTCGGGTCTGGATGAGGCCAGCCTCACTGGGACCGCTACCTGGGAAGGAACTATTCCCTGGTGGAGGGAGGGCCCTGGCTAGTCTCGGAGGCGGTCCCTCGGGTGCTGTGCACTAAGGGACATCCGTCTACTGTCAGACAAACGTGACAACTGGAAGGTGGAAATCCTGGGTGTTGGGATTTCAGACAACCCACGTGCAGGGCTCCCAAATTTCTCGCTAGGCCACCGGCAACACTTCCCACGTCCACCCCCACCCCCAGCTTCTCACTGGCTGGGGAGTCTCCCCTTTGGCTTTTGTATGTCCTCCCTATCCCATGCCCGACCCCCTACCCCCGTGCCTTGCACAGTGCTGGGCACTCCACAGGCGCTCAATAAATACTGCCCATCGATTGGAGTTCGTTAACTAAGGTGGAGGGCGGTGAGGTGGGAGGCTGGGAGGTTAGGGAGGGCTGGGCTCAGAACCAAACACAGGATGTTGCGAGTTCACTCCTGGAAGAAAGACCTGGAATGGTTGCAGAGGGTGCTCGGAGAACCCCAGGGCTGGATACGGAGCAGGTCTCACAGAAACTAGGACTGGCTGAGGCTTCTGGGCCTCTGTCTGGGGGCCTCTGCAAGCCCCTCTCACCCCTTCCCTGCTGAGTCCTAATCCTGGCTCTGGGATTTCCGCATGCCCCCCTTCCTGCAGGGGCTCAGCAGGGCAGGCGAAGCCCCTACCTGCTGCCGCTGTCGGTGTCGGGAGTCCTTTGATTTATCTTCTCATGAGATTCTGATTGGTCAGGGGTCCACACCAGGTAAACCAGCATAAACAAGGGTCGCTACACAGGGGTTGGGGCTTCAGGCAGGGAAGGCAATGATAGGCTGCCCTAAGACTGGTCTCATCTCCCTTTTACAAGTGAGAAAACTAAATCTTGCTCAAGGAAAGTGGCTTGTTACAGGCTGCAGGGCTCTGACACCAGGGTCTGCGAAGCTTCTGATTCTGCAATCCTCCAAACTATATACTGGTCCACTCAGCAGTACCCTATCGTCTGTCTGGACCAAGCCCCAACCAGAGGGAGAGAGATGTGGTCTGGGCTGTAACTAAGAGCCTACTGTGCTCAGATTCTGTACTGCCCCCTCCCCCAGGACTCCAGCCTCCCCACCTTTGACCTCTAGAAGAGGAAGTCAAGGCTCTGCGAGGCGCCACGCCTTGTCACCTTGTCCAGTCCACTGCGGCAGCTCAGTGCTGGAACTCTGAGCACCGAGTCATTTCCTCGCTTGGCAGTGCTGCCCTTCTCACCTCCAGAGTCACTGAAGTTCCATGTGCTTGTTTATTGTCTGCCTTCCCCACTAGAAGGCCAGAGCCAAGTAGTCCTTGTTCCCACCAAACCTCCAGGACCTATGACAATGCCTGGCCCGGAATTGGCACTTAGGAAATACTTACAGAGTGAATGACTTGGGAAGACTCAGCCTGAACAGTTCCTCCCAGCTCCTGGGCGCGGGCAGTGCATTCTCCGTGGCTACCACCAGGCAGCAAGCATGTCCTGTTCCCAGTCACGGGCCAGGTCCCCTTCCCACCTGGGGCTCCCTAGGAGCCCAGGGCACTCAGAGGACCCATGCCCAGGTGCCAGGAAGGAAGCAGCCCTGCAGTGGGGCCCAGGGACCAACCTGCAAATAGGAATCCTGAGACCAGAGGTCAAGAAAGTGCTGAGGAAGCGGCCCCCTGCCGCCCAGGGCTCTCCAGACCAGGCAGGCCGGAGTGAGGGCGCCTGAGATGGCCTGAGAGGGGGCTCGGGAGGGGTGGACAGGAAGGTAGTCATGAGACCCATGACCACACCTGACCCACCTTCAACACAGAGCACTTAACACCTTGCCATGGCTTTGTGGCCCATGTTCACACCCACACAGAAACGCCCTGACTCATTTGCAGAGTATGTGACACACTGCCTGCCACAGTCATGTACAGTAACACCTGCACAACCCCACCTTAACAGGAACACCCTGACACTGCTCACCATCGGGCCCTGCCCTGCAGGATGGGACACAGTGACACACACAGGCCCTCCTCCAATCCACAAACAGCCTGAGGCCTGCAAACTCAGATATTCCCCCAGACGTGTCCTCAGCGGGTCAGACTGTAACTCCCCAACACACAGGAACGGGCTGACAGACCTGTGATGACCTGCTACACAGAAACCTCATGACACACACTCCACCAGGCCTGCTACTGACACACCCAGGTTGCCTTCAGACATGGCACACAGGCCTCCTCCTCCCCATCTACACGGAATGAAGACGCACGTGCACACGTAAATTCAGTCACAGACACAAAGACACTTTTGATCATGCAGAAGACATCCAAACCCTTCTGATTAATCTCACTTCCAGCTCTGGCCTCTCCATTCAGCCACCCTGCCCCATGGGGGACTCTGCTGAGGGCTGTGAGCTGCTGAAAAGACCCCTGTGAGGGGTGTGGGGACCCACTGGCCAGGCAGGAGACGGAGCAGCAGCACTGGGTGGGGAGGCCTGAGCTCATCAGATTCCAGCCTGAGTGATTCACCGGAAGAGCTTGGGGAGGATCTGGGGAGGGGGGGACTGACCCAGGGGCTGGGGCTTTGGGGGCCTTGATGGCCTTCAGACCAGGGGGTCTTGGATCCAGAGCAAGCCTCTAGTCTGGGAGAGGGGCTTCCTGAGGGGCAGCTCAGCCCGAAGCGATGTCTGCAGGGCCTGGCTCCTGGGAGGGGCAAGGACACAGAGCAGAGCCCAGGATGAGACAATTGGCCCCTCCCACCCAGCCTGGGCCCCTGACCCCGCGCCTTCCCAGGCCCAGCCCCTGGGTGTCTTTAGCAGGGGTTAGGCCAAGGGTGGGGGCAAGGGAGGAATGACCTTCATGGCCATCTTGGCCCCTTGGGCTCTCAGCCCAACTGGACCCCAGAGGCCCTGAGGGGCTGGACCTGCCTGGCTCTGTCAAGTCACCAGGGTTACTGACCCTCACTGCCCTGCCAGGAAAGGTTTCTGCCAGAGAGCTGAGAAGGCAGGGCTGGCATCCGGGATGTCCTGCTGAGAGGGAGCCCTCTGCTCCTGCCACCCCAGCCCCTGCCTCCTGGCCGGGCTGATGCTCAGAGAACCTAGCTGTTCCTACAGGGTGACAGGAAGAAAGGATGGGGCCGGGGCACAGGAAGTGCCTTTCTTGGAACTCTGCACCAAAATAGCCTGTTCTGTCCCTACTCTGGGTCTCAGTGTCCCATGCAGGAGGTATGTGTCACCAAGGAGACCTTCCCCAGGGAGGGACCAGAGCTGACCTTTGTCTGGCTTTTGCCTGCCACCCTCCCATTGCCTTTCACCCCCGCCAGCCCCCACCGTCCTTGCCTCAGGCTCTGCTTCACTTTGAAGTCCTAACATAAATATCATGTCTGCTTGGGTTCCCCTTCCCTGCCGGTCACAGCCCCCAGACCTGGCTCCCACCCCAGCCAGCTCCGGGGGTGCATGCCAGGGGAGAGGAGGGAGGCCTGGACCACCCAGGGAAGGTGGTGAGCCAGAGACCGTGGGTAGGATCAGGGAGACAGAGTGGGCAAAACACCAGATGGAGAAGGGAGACATGGAAGTGGGCAGAGAGGGGAGAGACAGGCTCCAGAAACCAACAAGGTGACAATCCTGGGAACAGAGCAGAGAAATCCAGAGACTGGCAGGAGAGCCAGAGACATCTGACACGGGAGGGAGAGGATCAGGGAGGAAGAGGCTCTGCAGTCTGAGGCCCTGGGGATAGTAATGGGGCAGGAGAAAGAGGGTGCTGGACAGAAAGAAAAAGGGAGTTCCCGGGGGGCGGGCTGAGACCAGGGGAGCAGTGGGAAGGGCCTGGTGGAGAGAGAAATGTCCCTGGCAACAGGGTGACCAATCGTCCTTGTTTGCCTGGGGCTGGGGGGCTTCCCAGGACAGGGGACCGGCAGTGCAGAAAAGTCCTCAGGTCACCCTAGGTGACAGGCCTCTGCAGGGACCAGAGTCCACTCCCATAGGTACTTCTCACACAGAAGAGGAAGCTGTGGCCCGAGAAGGGCCAGCTGTGACTTCCCTGGAGCACACGGCAAGGGCAGGGCAGGGCCGCCTCAAGGCCTCTCCATGCAGCCTCATGGCAGAAGGACACAAGAGGGAGGACAGGAGCAGTGGGGACCTGGAGAACATCTGTCCTGGCCTAGAGTCCCCAGATTTAGGGACAGTCCCTGCTCTGTCTTCATCCTCCATGTGACCTGGCAGAAGCCAGGACCGTCTCTGGGCGCTGTACACTGAAGGGGAGGGCTGACCTTTCTAGCTCTGATGGGGGCTCCAGGACTCCCTTCCTTATGGGCAGATGTGACCAGATGTTCAGGTCAGGCTTCTGCCAGGGAAGGGACTGGGGCCCCAGCTGGGCCCAGGTTGGGCAATCAGGGAGCAGCTATGCTTCTCGCGCACAGCTGTGGGCACAGGTGCGGGCCATGGGGACACACACATCACCCAGCTGTGCACACCGCAGCAATGCCGGGCCTGCGCAAGCGCACACACGCACATGGTCACGCACGGATACCGAGCACAGCCACAAACACAGTCTCCCTCCGGGGCAGACACCCTCGGCCCCCTCCAGCTGCAGAACCCTTTACCCCAGGGGCAGATCCTGGACAACACCCCTTATTCCTGGGCCCCACCTTCCCCAAGCCGATCTCTTCCCACCCGGTCCAGTCTTTCACCACGCTCTTCCCACGGGGCTCTCCCACCCAGAAGCACACAGGGTGCGGCCTGCCCAGCATGTGGGGAGGGGGAGGAGGCCAAAATTGCTTCCCTCCCTCCCAGACTCCTATCCCTCCCGACTCCTGCCCTGGGATCTCTCCCACCTTCTCTCCTGGGGCTCCCACCCAACAGGCGCCTCCTGCCCACCCATCGGCCTCTACTCCCGACAGCCCAAGCGCCGGGGTGGTTTGGGAAGAATTTAGACATGGAGGGAGGTGGGGGGAAGGGGACAAAAGGAAAGGAGGGAAGGAGGTGATCTGTACACAAAGCAATGTGCTGGCTCAGCAGCAGGGCGTGCCAAGGCTCTCTAGGACGCCTGCCCAGGGGGCGCCCCCAATCACACTCGACCCCCACATCCTGGTTGTTCCACGGGGCCCTCTTCAGGCCAGCCCCCTGCAGGCTCCTTCACCCCCACCCCACCCCCACGGTCCCACACATTGCATCCAAAACCACCATCTGGCTTGTCCCAGTAGCCGGAAGACAAGCCTCCTTCTGGGGAAGTGGGCTTCTGTTTTTATGCCCCTCTTGAGGTGAGCTATCCCCATAAGGGCCATGATCAGAGCAGGGAACCCCAGACTCTTGACCCCCTATGTAAGCTGAGCCTGGCACCCTGAGCTGTCCTCTCCCCAGCCAGGGAGGCACATTAGCCTCAGGCCCCAACAGAGAAAGTAGGCAGTGTAGTGAGCACCACTCGTGATCCCTGCCAGTGGGCTCCACTCGACCAACCCACGAGTCACATTCGGAGATCGCCGTCCATCATGGTGGTGGCTCATTGTGAATAAACACTTCTGCCTGAATCCCCGTATCCAACCATGCATCCAAACACCTTCTCGTCCACACACCCATCCACTCAGCCATCTATCTGTCCTTCCACTTACTCATTGCTCCATCCATCCATCTATCCATCTCTCTACCACCCACCCAGCCTTTACTGATTCTCTTACCTAATTACCCTTCCACCCATCCACCCATCCACCCATCCTCCTACTTAACCATCCTTCCATGCATCCATGCACCGATCCATGTACCCACCTACCCAACCTCCAAGCATTTACCGCATCAATGAATATCTTCTCTGTGCAACGGAGGAGCCAAGTGAGTCTGGCTGAATGAGACCAACAGAAAGAGTAAGACCACAACCAGCCCCTCTCTACCCTCTCACAGATCCCTGATGCTGTGCCCCCTGTATCCCCCATCCTGACTAGGACAGGAAGTGCTTAGGCTGTCTCAACCTCACCTCTCTCAGCCTGGATGGGGCAGGTGAGGGTCAGACACCCACCCAACCTGGGTACCCAGATATGTCTCCAAGTATCATTTTCTACAAACCCCACTATTGTGGGGTCAAGGGAAAGAGGCATGATCCAATAAGGGGTTAGGTGTTCCCCACTCCTTCTTACCACTGTTCCTCACTCTTGGCTCAAGCTTCCCTCCACTTGTAAGTAGGCCCAGCCAGACCATCTGGAATTTGGCCTTTGACCCCTCCTCCTTCTCCCCTTGCCTGACCCTCAAACCCCTCACCCCAATGAGGCTGGAGTCCTGACCTCTGATCTGACACGCCCACTAGCCAGCCGGCCTGCAGCCTCCCCTCAGACGCCCCAGCACTGGCCATTGCCTGAATCATGACTGGGTCTGCCACACCCTTGGACCAGGCTCTGGCCCATCCCTAAGGAGACTCCAGAGCTGCCTCCCCCAGCCTGGCCCGCCCTGCTGCCCAGCTCTCCAGCCAGCTCCCTCCCTTCTCCCAGACTATTGCAACAACCTTCTAACTGGTCCCTGGCCTCTGGTCCCCTCTCCACCCACCACACACGAGCCATAGGGATCTCCAGGCATGCCTCTTCACCTTGGCCTCCACAATAGAGGCCAGCCTTTTAGCCAGCCTCTCCACTCCTCACTGTCCCTCTAGGTGTCCCTCAGTCCAGCCCAGTGGAGTCCTTCGTATTCTCCAAACACATCATGAGCTCTTCCACCTCAGTCCCTGTGTCTAGGCTGTGCCTTCTTCCTGTTATGCCTTCCTCCCATCCTCATTCCTTGATGTCATGCCCACTCAGACTGTGCTCAAATGACCCCTCGGGGTGCTGCAGCCAGAGAACTAGAATACGAGCCAGGAGGCCTGAGTCCCAGCCCTGCCACCGACTCACTCTGACACTCCCTGGGCCTCAGCTTCCCCATCGGCAGAAGGCTTGCTGATTTCCAGGGACTCCAATTCTAGGATCGTCTGACTTCGGGGGAAGGCTGGGCAAGTGCAGGTAGCAAGTGGCCTTTGGCTCTGAGCAGAACCCCAGCTTCCCCCATGTGTTGTCCTGAGCCAGGTTCCTTACTTAGCTGAATCGCATTCATTCATTCATTCATTCATTCATTCATTCAAAACCCCCTATTAGCAACATTTACGGGCTAGGAGCTTTCCAGGCTTAGGGGATTCAACAGGGAACAAGATAGTGACCCCGTCTTCAGGGAGCTCACAGTCTTCCAGGGCAGTTCTCCCCTGGGGGCAATGTTGCCCCCAGGAAAAATGACAGTTGCTAATATCTGGAGATGTTTTTTTATTGTCCCACTGGAGGGATGCTCCTGGCAACTAGACAGAAGCTAGGGATGATGCTAAACATCCTATAAAGCACATTGTAACAAATAATTACCCAACCCTGAATATCAATACTGCCAAGGCTGAGAAACCCTGACTATTGGCGGATTCAGACCAACAAGTAAATATATACCATTTCAGATAATGATAAGGGCAAAGGAGAAAAACAGAACAAGACTGGGGGCCAAGGAGCCCTGGGGATGGGGAGGGGGAGGTGGTCAGGGACTCTGGCTCTTGAGCTGAGACCTGAAGGGAGTGAGGAACACTGCAGGAAGAGTATTCCAGGTGGAGAACAGCCAAGGCAAAGGCACAGAGGGAGACATGAACCCGTGAGTTTCAGGAACAGCTAGGAGGCCAGAGCTGCTGGAGAAGAGGGAGTGAGGTGGAGGGATTGGGATGAGAACTTTGGGAGCAGATCACATAGGCCTGGAGGCTGTGGTGAGGACTCTGGCCTTTCCTCTGAGTGAGATGGGAACCTCGAGGTTCTGAACAGGGGCGTCACTGGATCGACTGGACCTGACTTAGGTTCTCAAAGGCTCCCTCTGACAGGATGGAGAGGGCACAAGAGAGGCCAGAGGAGAGGCTGTTGCAAGAATGTAGATGAAAGAAGATAGTGGCAGGGGCCAGAGGTGGGTGGTAAAGAAGGTGGTGAGACAGTCAGATTCTGGGTCTGTTTTGATGGTGAAGCTGACAGGACCTGCTGGGAGATTGGACATGGGTGTGGGAGAAAGAGGAGTCAAGAATGATCTCAAGGCTTTGGGCCAGAGCCAATGGAAGACTGAACTGCCCATGTTGACTTTCCTCTCACGGGAAGGGGGTAGATATTCTGCGTGCTTCACAGATGTAGACCTTGACAGACGCACCTTCCGGGAAGATAGCAAGCACTTCCAAAGCCTTGGTTCTCAAGGGACTGGCTGTGTCTGCAGGGCAAGCCCTGGAATTGTTGGTTAGCAAAGCCGCCCTGGGCCCATCCCCACTCAGATTTGCTCAGAAGACTAACACTTGCCTCGTGCTTTGCAGCTGACAAAGCACATTTGCAAACACCGAGAGCCGTGATACAATATCCCTGCTGAGCAGAAAGGCCCTGACACATTATCCCCATTTTGTAGATAAAAATGGAGACCCAGAGAGGGTCAGTGACTTCCCTGCAGGCACATAGCAGATCAGTGTTGGAGTGGAAAGCTAGACCAGGGCAACACATGGAGGGGAAGAACCTCTCCTTGATGTCCCCACTCCCAGCTCAAACTTCTACCAAGAGTGCAGTGGGTGTGCATGGGTTAATCTGCCAACCAGCTCCCCAAGGACCATCCTGGATCCTGGACTTAGTGCACAACCCCCCCCCCCCCAGAGGCCTCTAAGAGGGACAGGAAGAGGACCCTGGCCAGGCCTACAGAGCAGGCCCTGAGGGCAGGGAGAGCCCCACAAATGAGATGCCTGTGTCACACACACGTGTGTCATTGTGTGCCCCATGCCCTTACATGGCCTCTTATGCGTTCCCTTGCATCTAGCCCTGCTCATCCTGAGTGCAGCCCATCCCCTGCTGGCCCCCTCCTCCTGCACACTGCCCTCCAGCTGCAGGAGATCAGAGAAGCATTTCCTGTTTGAGGGTGGCCTCCTTTCCCTCGAACCCCAGGTTTCCAGGGTCCCAGGCTGAGCAGAGGTGAAGGGAGAGCAGCCCCAGCTCCTCTTCCTTCCCCACACACTCCCAGTGCAGCTAGAGCCAGGAAGGTTGGGGTGAGGGGGAGGTTGAGGCAGGAGCTTAGTACATAAATGAGGGTTGAAGATATCTGGGCCTGGCCCTGGCCGGGTAGCTCAGTTGGTTAGAGTGTCCTCCAGACCAAAGTTGCAGGTTTGATCTCCTGTCAGGGCACATACAAGAATCAAGCAATGAGTGTATAAATAAGTGGAGCAACAAATAGATGTTTTCTCTCTCTCCCCTTCCCCTCTCTCAAATCAACAGCAACAAAAAAGATGTCTGTGCCTGCCATGATCAAGGTGGCTCCCATGTGTTAGGACATGTAGAATAACACACACACTTCATATGTACACCTAGGAGGTAGCATGTCAGAGCATGTGAACATGTGGGAAGGGGGTCTGCAGGCCCATGTGCGTCTATCGTGAGGGGAAGGGCTTAGCATGTCAGAGTATGTGCAAATCTGGAACGGGCGGACTGTGGAGAGAGCTCCTGGGTGGGGAGAGGTGCATACACACGTGTGTATGATGTGAAGGGCATGAGTCAGAGCATATTTCTACATGTATGGCAAGCTTTTAGGCTATGAGACTGTTCACGGGTGTGATGAGATTGGTGTGTCCAGATTTGGGTCACTGTCGGTCTCTGGGAAGTGACCTCACCCCACCACCAACAGCCCCAGAGTGCGCGGGAGTTTCCCGAGGGTCGTCCAGCCTCTTCGGGCCGGCGGGTGCCCCGCCGGGACTCCCAAACCCCTAGTGCGCCTCCTCCCCGCCCCCGCCCCCGCCCCAGGACCCCTACCCCTGTCTCCCGCCCGCCTGCTTCCTGCTCTGGCAACCCCCGGGGAGCGGGAGCTGGGAGCTGGCGGCAGCCCCAGCCCACTCCTTAAAAGGCCCTAGTCCGGCGGGGCCCGCCCCCGAACCGCCCACCAGAGGCCCCAGTCCCTCCCCCTGTCAAGAGCGGCTGCGGACCCGGCCCGGGCCAGTCGGGGGGCGTCGCGATGCTGCTGCGCCTGCTGCTGGCCTGGGCGGCTGCGGTGCCCGCGCTGGGCCAGGGCCCCTGGGCTACAGAGCCCCGCGCCGCCTGCAGCCCCGACAGCTGCTACGCGCTCTTCCCGCGGCGCTGCACCTTCCTGGAAGCCTGGCGGGCCTGCCGAGAGCTGGGGGGCGACCTGGCCACTCCGCGAACGCCCGAGGAGGCCCAGCGCGTGGACAGCCTGGTGGGTGCCGGCCCAGCCAGCCGCCTGCTGTGGATAGGGCTGCAGCGGCAGGCCCGGCAATGCCAGCCACAGCGCCCACTGCGCGGCTTCACGTGGACCACGGGAGACCACGACACGGCCTTCACCAACTGGGCCCAGCCTGCCACGGTCGGGCCCTGCCCGGCCCAGCGCTGTGCGGCGCTTGAGGCGAACGGCGAGCATCGCTGGCTCGAGGGCTCCTGCACGCTGGCCGTGGATGGCTACCTGTGTCAGTTTGGCTTTGAGGGCTCCTGCCCAGCACTACCAGAGGAGGCTGGCCAGGCGGGCCCAGCCATCTACACCACACCCTTTCACCTGGTCTCCACCGAGTTCGAGTGGCTGCCCTTCGGCTCTGTGGCTGCTGTGCCCTGCCAGGCTGGCAGAGAAGCCTCCCTGCTGTGCGTGAAGCAGCCTGAGGGTGGAGTGAGCTGGTCTCGGGCTGGGCCCTTGTGCCCAGGTACTGGAGGCTGCAACCCGGACAATGGGGGCTGCGAACACGAGTGTGTGGAGGAGGTGGATGGTCATGTGTCCTGTCGCTGCAGTGAAGGCTTCCGGCTGGCAGCAGACGGGCGCAGCTGCGAAGACCCCTGCGCCCATGCCCCATGTGAGCAACAGTGTGAGCCTGGCGGGCCACAGGGTTACAGCTGCCACTGTCGCCTGGGTTTCCGGCCAGCCGAGGATGAGCCCCACCGCTGTGTGGACACGGATGAGTGCCAGATCGCTGGTGTGTGCCAGCAGATGTGTGTCAACTACGTCGGTGGTTTTGAGTGCTACTGCAGCGAGGGCCATGAGCTTGAGGCTGATGGCATCAGCTGCAGCCCTGCGGGGGACATGAGTGCTCAGGCTTCCCAGGACCTTGAGGACGAGTTGCTGGATGACAGAGAGGATGAAGAACTCAGAGGTGAGGCCTGGGAGGACTTCGATGGTGGCTGGACACAGATGCCTGGGATACCGTGGATGGAGGCCACACAGCTGCCTGACTTTGGCCTGGCCTATAGACCTAGCTTCCCAGAGGACCAAGAGCCACAGATGCCCTACCTGGACCCTACCTGGCCACCCCCACTCAGTGCCCCCAGGGCCCCCTATCACTCCTCAGTGCTTTCCGTCACCCGGCCCGTGGTGGTCTCTGCCACACGCTCCACACTGCCTTCTGACTACCAGCCCTCTATTATTTCTGCCACACACCCACCCCTGGCCCCTGACCCTCGGCCCCGCAAGGTCCCTGCCATGAACCCAGTTTTGCCCCCTGACCACCAGTTCCCCATGATCTCAACCAACTATCCCAATATTCCCTCTGTCCGCCAACCACCTGTTATCTCTGCCCCTATCCCAACACGGCCCCCTGCCCACCAGCCCCCAGTTATCTCAGCCCACCAGTCCCCCATGTCTCCAGACACCCAGGTGGCTGATCCCCAGACCACCACTCACTGGCCTCGAATCCCAGCGAATCACATCCCTCTGGTCACCACCTCCAGTGTTCATCACCCCCCTGTAACCCCAGGTGTTCCAGTCCTCAAAGCCCAGGCCACCCACCTTCCCATAACCTCGACTGTCCAGCCATCTCTGACCAATACCTCCAGATCCCCTGTGCCCCCCACCCATCAAGTCCCTGTGCCTGCTGCCACCCAGCCCCCAGTCCTTCATACTCCCCTGCCCCCTCAGACCCCCACTAACCAGACCACTCCCATCAGCCCTACTCACATCTATTCCAAAGCCCCACAGGTCCCAAGAGAAGGTGCCTCTGATCCCAAGCTGACCCCATGGCTGTCCTCATCAGCCCCCACAGCAGCCCCAACAGCCCTGGGGGAGGCCAGTTCTGCAGGCCGAAGCCGCAGGGATGACCGATGGCTGCTTGTGGCACTCCTAGTGCCAACATGTGTCTTCTTGGTGGTCCTACTTGCACTGGGCATTGTGTACTGCACCCGCTGTGGCCCCCACACACCCAACAAACGCATTACGGACTGCTATCGCTGGGTCACCCAGGCTGGGAACAAGGGCCCAACGGAACCCATGCCCCACCGGGGCAGCCTCACAGGGGTGCAGACCTGCAGAACCAGCGTGTGATGGGGTACAGTACCCCACTCTGTGGGGTGGGAGGAAGGGGCATACATTGGACACATGGCCCAGGCTACACCAGTGACCCATGGGGGCTGCCCAGATGGACAGAGGGCATCCTGCTCCCCAGGGCATAGCCAGGCTCCTCTGTCAGTCAACCACTAGACTTGACTCAAGAAAACTCTGCTCCCTGGCCTGGCACTTATGACAGAGGAGATGTCAAGGCCCCCAGGACCTCAGGGGGTGGGTGCTGAGGTCTTTTCTAATAAACAAGGTGCCAACCTCATTCAAAGCTTCTGACCCCCATTGGTGCCTGAGGGGAGGGTCTGGGAGGATTCAGAAAAAAGAGGGTACCTTCCTTCAGTTTGGGCCCCCAAGGAAATAAGGTAAGATCCCTTAAGGGAGGGTATACTTCAGAGATTCTCAAGGAAATAGGAGCCCAGAGAGGGCAGAACCTTGCCCAAGGCTACACAGAAAACCCAGGAGTGGGAGGTTTGGGATGGAGAAGTCCATATTTGTTCTTTACACCAATACTCCAAGAAAGTAGGGTTCTGGAACGAGGCCTTCTGCTGAACTGGAGCAAAACTGGGATTTAAAGGTCAAAGCTAAACCTTGGGCCGGGTGATCCTGGGAGTGAAGAGACTCTAGTGGATGAGCTTACTTTTGGTACTTCCCTTCCCATCCCTAAAGGCTGTCCAGAAGTTGGTGGCTGGGGCTCAGGTCACTTAAGGTACTGCCACCCCTCCGGAGGTACTATGGAGCACTCCTCCTGCCTGCTCTAGGAAGGAGGTGGGCGTCAGAACCCAGCAGGCTAGGCTGACTAACCCAGGAGAGAGCCCATGTCCAGCTCCCTGGGCAGCCTCCTGAGCAAGGCCTTCCCATCTTGGGCTACACTTTGCCCTTCTCCTTGTGGGTGGAGCGGGGACAGAAAGAACCCAGGAGACCTCAGCTTGAATGAAGGTTCAGGTTGCTCATGGATAAAGTGACCCATAAACTGAAGAAGGAAATGGTCAAACATCACAGACTGGGAAAACTGTGCAATCTCCAGCATCTTGGGCTCACTGCCTTGGGGACAGGGAGAGGCGGAACCTGGGCCAGGGAGGCACCGGTTCCCACTGCCTCTGTAATTTTTCAGTTGTAGCTTCTAAGGGACCTCTAATTAGGACGGAGCAGAACCACCACGACCACCCGGGGAGGCGAGGAGGGGTGACCCAGAGTCCCCTTCCCTACCAGGTTCCCTATGCCACCGTCTATGTCACAAGGCTGGAAGGCTGGGCTGAGCCCCAAGGGACTAAGAGACTAGAGGCCGGAGCTGGGGACCAACCTGGGGACTGGGGGCGCGGCGGGGGCGGAGGGAACGCTACGCAACACCCTCATCCCCCCTCACGTTTTCCTAACTCAAACCAGAAGCCCCATCAAATCCTGCCCAAGTTTTTAACCTCGGAGACGCCACTGGAGAGGTTTACTGCACGGGAGTCGGGGTGGTGGGGTGGCCCAAAGGCCTGGGTCTGGGAAAGTGAGTGCGCAGCCTTGGGGGTGACAAAGCCTGCCAGGACGGGAAGTGTTGGAGCTCACTTCTGTGACCCTGGGCCGGAGACCCAGAGCGCCTCGAGGGCAGGAAGGAGTTAAATGCACTGCTGTCGTTGGGAGGAGATGGGAGTGGGGAAGGGGGCCCAGAGCCGGCTCTTTGTCATCCTGTAATGAGCACCAGATGCGGAGCTGCGTGCGGGCCTAAACAGACGGCCTCCCAGGGCCGAGCCCCCGCCTGCGCTGAGTCGGGACTCCGCCCAGGCCCAGAGCTGTGTCTCAGGCTCCGCCCACTGGCTCTCAGGCCTGCAGACCCCCGCACTGTCAGCCTGGTCTCGCGGAGCTACGAGCCACGCCCACTCACTGCTGTCAAGCGCCTCCTCGGGAGCGCTCCAGAGGCCCCGCCCATCAAAGGCACAAGCCTCGCCCCTGCCAGCTCAGAGTCTCAGAATTATTGCCCCGCCCCCCTGTTAACTCCGCCCAGGCCAAGGCAGTACCAATGGCCCCCGCCCACCAGGCCATAAGCCCCGCCTCCTCAGCTCGATTTGCGCAGACTAGCGGAGTTATTAGTTCTCGCTTCTAGGAGGTATGAACTCCGCCCAGAGTTTACACATTTTCCTCAAGCAGCACCGCATAACAGCACCAAAACTCCTCCCTTTCCTAGAGCCGGGGACTAGGTCCGCGAGCGCAGGGAATCCGCAGACACAGTAACTGTCGGAGAGATGCAAACTCTGCCCTCCGGTTGACGCATTCCTCTCTAGGGGCTCTGCAAACTCCAGACCCAACTACAAGCCCCGCCCCTTCACCTAGGGGCACAGATCGTAGGGAGGGGGCCCCGGCTGGCCTCACGCGGGTAAGAACTCCGCCCACGCACACTAACACTTTCCCTTCGGCTAAGGTAATGGCCCACCTACACGGAGCCCCCAGGCCGCCCAGTAAGAACGTGCACATTGCCCGGCCACTGTGGCTCCGTGGATTGAGCATGTTCCATGCACCAAGAGGCCACCGGTTGGACTCCTCCTCGCGGCACATGCCCGGTTGCAGGCTCGGATCCCCAGTAGGGGGCGTGCAGGAGGCAGCCAGTGGATGTTTCTCATCATGGATGTTTCTATCTCCCTGCTCCTCTCCCTCTCTCTCTAAAAAAAATCAATAAAAACAACGCTGGCCGGTTTCGCTCAGCGGTTAGAGCGTCGGTCCGCTGACCAGAGAGGCCTGGGTTCGGTTTCGCTAAGGGCATGTACCTCAGTTACAGTTTGTCCCTGGCCTCTGTTGGGATCGTGTGGGTGGCAACCAGGCCATGTGTCTCACATGATGTTTCTCTCTCTTCCTCCCCCTCTCCCTCCCACTCTATCTGAAGATGAATGCAAAAATGTCTTCCAGCAAGGATAAAAACATAAAAAATAAAAAAATCAATAAAAACATATATATATGTATACATTTTTTAATGCCCACAAACCGAACCCTGATGGTCCCTTAAGTCCCACCCACCTAGAGCGGCCCTTTTTAGGGGCTTTGTGCACAAGTACTGCCGACGCAGAGAAAGTAACCCAGCCTCTTCTCCCAGGCTCCTCCTCCTGCTTATGTATAGCCCTGCCTACCTTAGGCTCCACCTTCTCGGGACTCAAGCCCCTCGGGCTCGGGCGTGGGACTCTCGGAGAGTCTTAACCATCTTCTGCTCAGACTGGTAGGTCGGAACCCCTCCCAACCACCAGGTTCCCCCTGAACCCAGCCCAGGAGCCCTCTCTCCTTCCCCACCGACGGCTTCTGTGGGTCTAGATCGCAGAATCTCTGGAGGGAGCTCCGAGACGGTGGAAGGCTCAGCAGACGGCGTCGATGAACGGGCCTTTGGTGCCACCTGCCTTCCGCACCGCGGCTTGCAGCCAGCGGGAGGCCTTGGTCCAGCCTCTCTCCCAAAGTACACTAGTAGAGCTCAGTAAATAGTCGCTTAATTTATAAAATGTTTGTGTTACTCAAATATCTGCCACCTCCCCCCACCCCTGCCCCTGGGCAAAATAACAGATCTGCTTGCAGGTGCCCTCCGTTGTATTTGGAAGACCTCAAAGGGGCTTCACACCTGCCCTCAACACTTTGAGCTGAGATGGCGCCTGCCAGTCTTTACAGAGGCTGGTGGGACTCGACTCTTGCTATGCCTTCCCCACGAATTCTATTTTCCAGGGGCGAAAGCACAGTCTCTCACCTGGAGGCCCAGAATTGGTAGGGCAATGTCCTCTGGTACCCCAACTTCAAATTGTGGACACTTTCCCTAGGGGTGTGTGTTTGGTGGGATGGAGTGAGTTTGGGCTCTGAGGCTCTCACGTGGGAGCTGAGGGTCACAGTTTGGGGAGCGCAGTTGATCTCAGGGCAGATCTCTATTTCAGAGCTCATCAGTGCATTTGAAAATATTCCTCTGCTCACTCCCACCGGGGCTCCAGGAGGCCAAGGCACTTGAGTTCAGTTCGAGGAGCTCAAATGCTTTTCAAATGTTACTGGGACAGATGGTGGTAGCTAAGGGGTGGGGGCAGAACTAACACCTGCTGAGCTCAGTTAGGTACTAGCACCCTGAACTCCCTGCATTAAGCCCTGGGTGGAGCCACCTACTGACAAACTTAGGCCTGGGGAGTGGGAGAGTTTTCAACTGAGATTCCAGGTCTGGTGCTGTGGCTGCTATGGATGGGAGTAGGGTTTTGTGCCAAATAATAAAAAAAATAATAGCGAATGCTTGCAACACTTATAATATTCCTAGTCCTATTCTAAGGGCTTTACATGTCAATCCATTTAAGATCTATAACAACTCCCATGAAGTAAGTGCTATTCTTATCACAATTTACAGATGAAAATGCTGAAGACACTTGCCTGAGTGCCTTGCTTTAAGCCACCTGCCCTCTTTGATCGAGTTAGTAAGTGGAGATTTGAACCCAGGTAGATTCTGTGGTCTTCACCCCTAGAGCAGGGCTGTTCCATAATGATAGCCATGTCTCTGATCAGAAAATGACCAGTTTTCTCAGTGGTTAGAGAATTGGCCTGCGGACTGAAGGGTTGCAGATTTGATCCCTGACTCTGACATGTGGGAGGCAACCAATCGATGGGTCTCTCTCACATTGACGTTTCTCTCTCTCTCTCTCTCCCTCCCTCCCTTCCATTTTATCTAAAAATCAATGGGAAAATATCCTCATTGAAGATTAACAAAGAAAAAAGAAAATGCCCACTGTTAACAAAAAGTCCAAAAGCCTTTCTGAAAGAGTTTATTGAGCCACATGCTGGCCAGAGAAATGACCAGGTCCTAGGACATGCAGTCTGAACCACAGCAGCAAGGGCCAGGTGGGGAGGACAATGTGTCCGCAGTCCTGGGATTGACAAAGATCTTTCTTTTTTTTAAATCCTCACCTGAGGATATTTTTCTGTTTATCTTCAGCTAGAGTGGGAGGGAGAGAGAGGGAGAGAAAAGCAGAGAGAGAGAAACATCAAGGTGAAAGGGACGCAGCAACTGGTTGCCTCCCGCGTGTCAGGGTCAGGGTCGAACCACAACCGTGCCCTTGACTGGAATCAAAGCTGCGACTCACTGGTCCGTGGGCTGATGCTCTAACCACTGAGCAAAAGCGGCCAGGGTTACAAGGATCTTTTTATACAATGAGTTTGGAGAAGAAAGATCTAAATTATTGTGAAAGAATTTATATTAGCTGTAGATAAGTGGGGTGGGAGAGGTGAGG